TCCAGAAATCAATTAAAGAATATATAAACTTAAGATGTATATATTATTATATATTTACCAAAGGAAAACCAGAATATACATTATTCGACCTTCACTATTTAGCAGTGATTATTTAGTGCTGGACACCATTTGAGATATTGCATAAATAATGGTAGACTCAAGAAGCAATGTCCTCGTTCTTGTGGTCGTTGTGGTAGTTTGAATGTAATTGGCTCCCATAAACTCATAGGGAGTGGCACTAATAGAAGGTGTGGCTTTGTTGGAGTAGATATGGCCTTGTTGGAGGAAGTGTGTCACTGTGGGAGTGGGCTTTGGGGTTTCCTATGCTCAAGATATCACCCAGTGTCTCAGTTGATTTCCTGTTGCCTTCTGATCAAGATGCATGTCATGCTTCATGCCGTGATGATAATGGATTGAACCTCTGAAACTGAAAGCAAGACACAATAATTAAATGCCTTCCTGTTGACAGAGGTTTCTCTCCCACCAGGTCCCCGAGCTGATTAGTCCCAAGAAATCATACAGGGCTCTACATTAGTTATAAACTGATTGGCCCATTAGCTCAGGCTTCTTATTAACTCTTATACCTTATATTAGCCCATAATTCTTATCTGTGTTAGCTATGTGGCTCCATACCATTTTTAGCAAGGCGGTCACATCTTGCTTCCTCTGAGGCTGGGTCACGACTGCAGAAAGAACTTTCCTCTTCCTAGAATTCTCATTGCCCTGCCTCTACTTCCTGCCTGGTCCTCCTGCCTATACTCCCTGCCTGGCTACTGGCCAATCAGCATTTATTTAAAATATAAATGACAAGGTACAGACCATTGTCCCATAGCACTTTCTTTTCTAAGAGTTGCCATGGTCATAGTGTCTCTTCACAGCAATAGAAACCCTAACTATAGACAGTTGTTATACTCTAATGGGACAGGAAGAAAAAAATTAAGCAAATAACAAAGTTCATTTCAGATTCTGAAAAATTACTTTAAGATGGTCAGTAAAAAGATCTAGAGAGATTAGTGGGTAAGAGTGCTTACTGCTCTTACAGAGAGCCCAGGTGTGGTTCCCAGCACCCAGATGGTGGCTCGCAACCATTTATAATTTCTATTGCAGAGGATCTAAAACCTTCTGCTCTTGATGGGCACTATGGTCATGCAGTGCATAAATGCACTCATACACACACATGTACATAAAATTAAATAAATAAACATGTTGTTTTCATTTTTAAGTTAATTTTTATTTTTATTGAAAAAATTTTCATACAGTATATTCTGATCACAGCTTCCCTTCCCCCAAATCCTCCCAGATCCTCCCTTCCTCCCAGATCCTCCCCACTTCCCCTACCTCCCTAACTCTATGCACTTTCTTTCTCTCTTTCTTTAGAAAACAAAAAACAAACCATAAAAAACAAAGTACAAACATATACAACCGAAATCCATAAAAGCACAAAATTAGAAAACCATATTTATTATACAAGCAAAATAAAAATGTCCAAACAAAGCAATAGGAGTCAAAAAGTCTACAAAATACCACTGAGTTCAGTTTGTGTTGGCCATTGACTGCTGAGCATAAAATCTGCCTTTATGTGTACTAAATATCCCCATTGAGACTCCCATTTGGTAGAAAACTAATTTTTTATGTGAGTGGTTGTTAATGCAATATAGCTTTTTGGCTTGGATGGGGTCTTTTTTATATGTTTTTATTGATATTTATTGAGCTCTACATTTTTTTCTGCTCCCCTCCCTCCATCAGTCCTGTTGTGTCTTGAAGACACTATTTCCTTGGTGTCCTCCCTCCATCCCCTCTGGCTCTTAGAATCTTTCTGCCTCCTCTTCTGCATAGCCTTCCTGAGCCCTGAGGAGAAGGGCTTGATGAAGACATCCCATTTAAGACTGAGTGTTCCAAAATCTCTCACTCTCTCCACATTGTCTAGTTGTTGGTCTGTCTGTTAGTTACCATCTACTGCAAGAGGAAGCTTCTCTGATGATTGCTGAGGGAAGCACTGTTTATGGGTATAACAAAATTGCATTAGGCATCATTTTATTGCTATGTTCCTTTAGCAATCCAATAGTATTTTGTTTTCCTCTAGACCCATTCACAGCCACCTGAGCAATGTTAGGCATGATTTCCATTTTGTGGAGTAGGTCTTAAATCCAATCAGAGAGTTGTTGGTTTCTCCCATGTTTGCACCACTACTGTCCAGTATATCTTGCAAGCAGGTCATCATTGTAGATCGTGGGGTTTGTAGATGGTTACCTTTTTCCTGGTAGCGTGCAGAGTACCATAAACACTAGTCAGTAGGGGAAGGCTCTAATTAGGCACCAGCTCAAATTCTCCGTGTTCAGTAAGATGTGTAAGAATTGTCTTCAGCAATAGGACCTTGCCATCAGTTTGTGGAGAGCATCCAATAGCCTTGGCAATAGCCAATGTTTAGGAGCCCCTTTGGCCAATGATTCAACTAGATACAGCCCATTCCTGGCATTGTTTTCACTTGGTGATGAAAGATATCTAGTTGGGGCACTGTTTTCATGTGGCCTTTAGTGTTAGTTGTCCCTCATCTCTCCTCTTCCTTGTTTAATCCTCCTGCTCCAAGCTCCCGTATCTCTCCACTAATAGACACACATATACACATAAAACCAAATAAATATTTTTTAAACAATGGTCAGGCAAGCCTTCCATGACAAAAATGTCACTTGAACCCTAATAGCAAGGGTTTACTGAACCTAGGCATTGAGGGTGGTGATGAGATGTACATGAGCTATCAAGTGTGTAGGAAGAGGGCCACATCGTGTTAAGCCCTCATGGGCTGTGAGAGAGTTTAGATGTTACCTGATACCTAAGATTCCATAGGGGAATGATCCTTGATCAGATTCTATAATAAAATTAATAGTATTCCCCCAAATATTGAGGAATGCAAAGAAACAAACTTGAAAATGTTTCAAGGCTATAAAAGATTTCAGTAGAATATTTTACTCAATTATACTAAACAGTAGTAATCTTTGGCAAAACTTCATCTTCTGATAATTTTATAAGTGCTATCTTAATACACACACACACACACACACACACACATATATATATATATCCTATATGCCTTATATCACTTGTCTTTGAAAGTTATAGCTGCCTTCCTCTAACAAGCTCTGTGACAAAGAATTATGAATTGATATTTCATTATATCATAAGTCGCATTTAAATTGCTATCCTTTTATAAATATAAAAAGCAAGATTTATAAATATATGAAACGATTATTTTACTCTTGTAGCAATACAGTGTCTATGTCTACCTTTCTAACTTCCCACATGTTTGTATATATGTGCATATAAATGCATACATACATACATACATACACACACACACATATATATATATATATATGTATTTTTGGTGGGTTTAATTTTATTTATCTTTTTCCCCCGCTTTTTCGAGACAGGGTTTCTCTGTAGCTTTGGAGCCTGTCCTGGAACTAGGTCTTGTAGACCAGGCTGGCCTGGAATTTACAGAGGATCCGCCTGTCTCTGCCTCCCGAGTGCTGGGATTAAAGGTGTGCGCCACTACCGCCCGGCAATTTTATTCATCTTTTAGTGTTTTGGAAACCTTCATTTAACTTCTGGTTTAATCTTGCTTCTTTTTATCTAAAGCATATAGAGTTTAAAAATATTCTCAAAATATGTTTTTTTCTGTGTCATAAGATTTTTATTTTATATATTTATATAGTAATACTTTTGGAAAGTATTTTTTTTTTTTGGTTTTTCGAGACAGGGTTTCTCAGTGGTTTTGGAGCCTGTCCTGGAAGTAGTTCTTGTAGACCAGGCTGGTCTCGAACTCACAGAGATCCTCAGCTATTTTGTGTATAAGTGTTTCGCCTGCATGCATAGCTGTGTACCCTTTGCTTGCCTAGTATCAGCAGTGGCCAGAAGAGGGTATTAGATTATCCTGGAGGAACTGAAGTCACAGACTCTTGTGTTGTGAGTCACCATTTGGTTTCTAGGAATTGAACCTGTATCCTCTGGAAGAGCAGTTCAGTGTACATAATCACTGAGCCATCTCTTTAGCCCCAGGAAAATAGTTTTTCTAAAATAAGATTTATTTATTATGTATATTCTGCCTACATATATCCTATAGGCCAGTAAAGGGCACCAGATCTCTTTACAGATGGTTGTGAGCCACCATGTGGTTGCTGGGAATTGAACTCAGGACCTCTGAGTTCAATTAACCTCTTAACCTCTTAATCTCTTAACCTCTGAGCCACCTCTCCAGCCCGGAAAATATTTCTGATCCTAATGTTTTCTAGCCACAAAGATATTCTGGACTTCTTATCATCTATTAAATGTTTTAAATTTAAAATTATTATTATTATTACTGGGGGCACATACATGTTAATCTCAACTCTGGAGATCAGAGGGCAATTTACAGGAGTTGGTTCTCCCCTTCCAGGCTGGGTGTTCCAGGGATTGAACTCAGGTTGTCAGGCTTGTGACGAGCTCTTTTGCCCTCTGAGTCATCTCACCAGCCCTCTATTATATTTTAGTGTTAAAAAGATAAGCTGAGGGGTCTGGAGTAACCTGCTGCTCTTTCAGAAGACCCACATTTAGATCCCAGCACCCCTGTGGCAACTCGTAACTCTCTGCAACTCTAGTTCCGTGGGACCCAGTGACTTCTGGCCTCTACAGGCATCCATATTGTGTATATGCACACACTCAGGCAGAATATCCATATGTATAAAATAGAAATAAATCTTTCTGAAAATTAGGCTCAATTTTTTCATTTAAAAAATTACATATTTACTGCTTTTTATTTTTTTGCAAATCTAGTGTCCTAGATGGCATACTATCTGTTGGTATTTTTTATGTTTCTTTGTTTAGTATTATTTTTGTTTTAGTTTTAAACACAATCTCATGTCTTCTTTGACTTAAGAATGCTTTATTTCTCCCCTTGCATCCTTTTTGAGGAGACTTTTAAATAAAAGTCATCATTTGGTCTGTTTCTTTCCTTGTTTAAACAGGAAACAGAGAACACAGCACAAAAAGCTGGAAATGAGTCCCCTGTACAAGAGCTGAGACAAGATGTATCTAAAAAGGTTGGAAAGATATAATATCAAATTTAGTTTATAGAGGATATCAAATTTATACGATGCATTTAAGCTAGAACATTTTCTGTATTGTTTCAGCATACTGTTCTGTACATACTAATTGTTTTAGCATATGTTCGCATGATCAGCTTTGTGGTAGAAGACACACTGGCCTTTTTTAGAAGTCATGTCACCATTTACTTGGTAATTTATGCTTGAAACAGTTGTTTGTTTAATATGGCCTCTGAGTACTATGACACGGGCCTTTAGTCTCAGCACTTGGAAGTCAGGAGAAGATGAATATTTGAGATATATATAGTGAGTTCTAGGTCAACCAGGGCTACAAAGGGTGATTCTGTCTCAAACAATCAAAAACAATTAAACCAACAGCAAAATATTTATTGGTTTCTGAGTTCCAAATCTTGAGTTTACTATTAAAAGTTGCAGGTCCCGAGCCAGGCATGGTGTTGCACACATCTAATCCCAGCACTTAAGAGTTAGAGGCGGGTAGAACTCTATGAGTTTGAATCCAGCCTGGTTTACTTAGCAGGCTCCAGTACAGCCAGGGCTATATACTGAGACTCTATCAAATCATCAACAACAGCAAAAACAAATAGAAGTTACAGATACTGAAAGGCTCATAGTAGCAAATTATGTTATCTTTAGGAGTCAGAGATACCAGGAAGTCCTTACACTGATAGGATCCTTGAGGCCTTTTTAAATAATCAGTGCTGTGATGCTCCAGAAGTTAGTTCGCAAGAAGAGAGACTAAATGCAAGATACATATTTTGGGGCTGGGAGTGGGGAGATGTCTCAGTGGGTAAGAACATTTACTGTTTAAGCATAGGGACCTGAGTTCAAATGCCCAGAATCTATGTTAAAAAAAAAGCTATTCCTGACCACATATGCTTGCATTTGGGGGTTCAGGGATGTAGACAGGTTGATCCCAACAGGAGTTTTCTGGCCTGCAAACCAGGAGGCAAAGCAGGTTCTATGGCAAATCCTGTCTCAAGAGAATAAGGTAGAGAATATGGACGAAGACACAATTATCCTTATCTAACCTCAGCCTGTAATACACACATTAGGCACAATTAAAACAATAAGCATTGTAAAATGGGCCATTAGTAGTGTAAGCATGAATTCCAAGGAAAAAGATTTGTGTTCATTTATTTTTGAGTGTTTTTGTGTATTTTGTGGGCCATGAGCACTGTTGTAGCCAGTAAGTTTCTAGAGCCCAGCAAAACAGCTCCTTCTCTACTGCAGAGCTTCTCCATTAGTAGCTCTCTTCATGCTCCTTGTTGTGGAGGACCAGCCACTACTGTGTGCAGTGCAGGACTCTTCTACCTGCCTGGACACCAGTAGCATTCTCTCCCTCCTTTTGTCATGACAACTGAAAGTGTCTCCACAGCTGGGATGGATTGGTGGCAAATTTGCTGTCAGTGGAACTACATACACTATTCTACCCTTATAAAATTTATAAATATAGCAGAATATGGATTTTAATGTTGATCATACCTTTTCTATAAAAGAGAAAAAAATCCCTTTAGGGAGAAGAGGTATTCTTGTATATTAGCATATAGAATAAACATAGAGCTGGTTTTAAAAATCAGAAACCACAATTCTACAGTGGAGCAGTTTCTTTGATTCTTTTTTTTTCTTGATGGTTCTCAACCATTTGTATATATTTATTTTCTTCCCAGTTACAATGTAAATAGAACTTTTATTCTTACCATGCTTATATGTGCTTCATATTTCATTACTATGTTTCTCTCGAGTGGTTTAAGTTATATTCAGTCATTTTTATTGTTGAAACTTGTTGATTTTTTTGCCATTTTTTCTTGTCTTCCTCCTTCTTCAGACACTCAAGTGCTAGGATTATAGACATTCATCACCTCCATAGTTTTTAATTTCACCCCTTTAAAAATCAGTTACCTACTTCCAATTTATCCTGTCTATAGTGATTTGAAGGAGAATTTAAATAGAAACCAAAGAAGTAGTGAGAAAATTCTGTTGGACAGAAAGTGAGGTTTAACAATCTTTTAAAGTTTTAGCCTTTTAAGATGAGTTAAGCATTAATTGTTAAAGGACCATAGGAATATAATACCAACTACGTGTTCAGGAGTATCTTACATTTAGAAGAGGAATTTGAGTAAACTTGGTGGTACAAATTTCTAACCGCAGCACTTAGGTTGTAGAGGAAAAGAATCAGAATCAGGATCTCCCTCCAGCTACATCAGGAGTTTGAAGCCAGCCTGTATACACCCATATGTAAAAAAGAAAATCAGGAAACTGGATGAAAATAAATTTAATAAATGTTGTACCAAATTTACAAAATATTATAAAAACCCAATGAGAAACAATCTCCTGTTGGACAGTAGGAACAGAACTAACTTTATGGGGAAAGTAGCATGTGAGCTGATTTTTGATGAACGTATAAAATTTTGGCATGCAGAGATAAAAGAGGAAAGACATCACCAATGGCTTAGAGATGGGGAATGTGCAGAATGTTTGAGGATGAGGCTAATAACTCCAAGTTATGAGAATGTCATACTGAAATATCTCGGTTTCATTTTATATCACTCAGAAAACAGTGAGCTTTTGATGTATAAAGAGTAGCAGCAGCAACATCTCTTTGTTGCTTTTAGTTCTATTTTTTTTACCCATTGCATTGTTTAAAATCCATTTAAAAATGACAGTGAGGGACCATAAATAGGTATGAAAGGTGTGTGTCATCAGCAGACTGAAGAGCGTGGCTTGTTCTCCAGGAACTGATGGTGTGTTGTGAGGAAGTGAATGTGCCGAGCTAGCCTGTGTAGTCTGTGTGTTGTGTTGTCCGTGCTGTAGTGAATGGTAAGGTCAGAGAAGAGGGAGACTAGAACAGACGAGGGAAGACAAAATTTTCAGCCTCATCTTGACGCCTTATTTTTATAACATGAACCTGTCTGTGACACACAGTGATCATGTCAAACCTTTGTAATAACCTTGCTCTTACTGTGGCTCTTCCCCATCCCTTGTTTTCTTCTGCACATAGACATAGGAGGCTAACAAGCCTAAAAGCCCCCTTTTCCATTATTTTCCCCTTATTTGTAAACTTGTTTTCATCTTTTATTTCTATATTCTATCATCTATTGCTGACAATTAAGTATTCTTTTTTCCCTATCCAAAGTATTATGTGGAAGATTACCTGGGTTTTAAGTTTGGACATTTTTGTTTACTATGTAGCATTTGGGGAAATTTCCTAATGGTTTTCCCTCAGATCCTTCTTCTGAAAAAAAAATAAAATAAAACAAAAAAAAAAAAACAATAGATAATCTAGCTATCTAATGAGACCATCACAGGGTAAAGTATACTGGATGTGATACACAGAAAGCTTTCTTTCCTTTCGTCTCTAGAACTTGAGAAGTTTATTCTGTTAGCTTTCTCTCCTGTGGCTAACTTCCCTTCAGCTTAGAAAAATGCTGGGTCACTTTTTTTTGAAGTTTTTTTTTTCTATTTACAGCCAAGCCCTCCTCCCCAACCCCCTGGTACTAAAGATCAAACCGAGGGCCTAGTAAATGCTAGGCAACCAACCAGGCAATGTAATTTTTAAGAATTATATTGTACCCAGCTGACTCTATGTCTTCACGTTTTAGTCATTCTTTAGTTCTTTGAGAATTGCTTATGTGTTCTGAAAATATTCACCTTTCCCCAGTTCCTCCCAAATTCACCCCTTTACTTCCCCTTCAAACATTGTGTTTTCGCCCTTTTCAAAACCTATCAAAACCTATTTGTTTTGCCCATATATTCTTGGATGTGTGGTCTTCCACTAGAGCATGGTCAACTTACCAGGGGTCACACTCTTGAGAAAACTGACTCTCTCTCTTCACACAGTTATCAATTGCCAGAAGCTTCTAGGCTAGGGGTGGAGCTTTGTGCCCACAACCTCTCTTCATGCTAGGATTTGGTCTAACGTGAGCTTGCATGGGTCTTATACACACATGGTGTCACAGCCTCTGTGAGTTCACACTTCATTTGCTCTGCTGTATGCTGCAGTTAGTTTCCTTGTAGTCATTTACTGCCTCTGGCTCTTACACTCTTTCCACTTCCTCTTCCGCAGTGACCTCTGTTACTCATTTTCACATACATTGTTATCTGACTTCTGTTACCACTAAAGTCGTTAATGTTGATTAAATGCCAAATGTGATAAACGTTGTAAACCTTAGTTAATATTATATGTGGTAAAATGAGGAAATTTCTAGTACTAAAATTTTTAAGATAGTGAAAAACTATTACTTGCAATATACTGGGAAGTCAGGGGCAAATCTTACTGAACAGGAATAACAGCCAGTTTTACTAGTATGGAATTGTAACAAAGCTGATCAGGGCAGGTCTGCAACATATTCCGTTAACTTACAGGAGCTGGGGAATTGAAAAAGCAGAGTTCAGGTTTGGTATGAGTGGATCAGGGAATTTAATGTGTTAGTAATGCCAAGACTGTATAGAAGATATATTTTCTTCTAAATAGTACTTGAAGACATAGACCCCTGTGCATATTTTTCACTTCGATGTAAGAAATAGGAGGAGTGGGAGCAGTGTGGGCTGGATGTTGGAGCTCTATTCATAGACCGCCCCCCCAGAGTCTGAAGAATGAAGACTTATAATTAATTCAAGTGTGTTTATTACCTTGCAGCTGCCAACTTTTCTGATGTAGTCGTGAGTTCAGACTGCATTGAGTTCAATTCTAATCCTAGGTGGATTTTGTTTCCGTGATTTTGTTAACTAGAGACAGCAGGGGGTTCTTGCAACTAGTTTGGCATAACTATGTAAATAAACTCTTGACATTTGAAGTCTTCATGAGGAGATATATGGCTTCATTTTACAGGGTTCATTGAACTTTTGTCATGATATAATAACACAGGTTCCCTATTACAGTGTATAAGTGTATAGATTCTGGAAGCAAACTTCCAGGAGTTAATACCATTTTTATCACTGACTAACTTGAAAACATTGGACATATCACTTGGTCCATGTATGCTTTAGTTCCTTCATTTGTAAAATTATGACAATAGGAGCAAATCTTTATACATTTGTGTAAAAATTAAAATCAATAAAGTGTTCCAGACATTGCCTGTCATATATATTGAATTAGCTATTACTTTGTTGTAAATAACTTCATTATTTTTAAAACTGCATTTTAACCTTTCATTAGATAATTGAAAGTATTATTGAGGAAAGTCAGAAAGTACTACAATCAGAAGATGACTCTTTGGATTCCAAAGGGAGAGGACTCTCTGATCAGGCTACTGCCAGTTCTTCTGTGGCTGAGACAGACTTTAGTGACATACCTGGACTATTATCCATAGAGCACGAACTACAGCATGATTCTGAAAAGGCAGACAGTCCAAATGTATTTGAAGAAGCTGAATTAGAAGCACAAAGATGTTTTCCTTCTGAGGACTCCTGTGAGAAGACTGTAGACGAAACTGCTAATGTAGCTGAAGTAAGTTCAGCTGAGCAGCTTGATGTTTCTGAACTGGAAACCGAAATACTGAGCAAGGAAGCAATGGAAGTCAAAGAAAGCGATATTCTAGATCCTGCATCCTCAGATTCTTTGTCTGCTAAAGATTTTGCTGCTGCGGAAGAAGTGGCTCCCGCCAAACCCCCAAGGCACCTTACTCCAGAACCTGATATAGTAGCCAGTACAAAGAAGCCTGTTCCTGCACGCCCACCACCACCAACTAATTTCCCACCTCCTAGACCCCCACCTCCAACCCGACCTGCACCACCACCAAGAAAAAAGAAAAGTGAATTGGAGCTTGAGGCTCTTAAAACACCTGATCTGGATGGCAAGTATTAACTGAGAAATATTTTGGTTGGGAAATATGAGAGTTAAAACTAACTTTTCTGCTTTGGGTTGGGAAGAAGTAAGATAGGGTCGTTTTATATCATCCAGACTAGCATGTAACTGGGCTGTCCTTGAATTTGTGGAGATCTTCTGCCTCTACTTGTTGAGTATAGGCATTTGTTATGATTCTCAGCTAACTTTTCTGCTTTTGCTTCAATTTGTGCTAAAGAATAACTGCTGTGATAACTAGGATATATAAATTATTTCTTGAATAAGTTGGCAAAAGCTGAAAACTTACTGGCCATAAGTTAAAATAATATTACTGAGTATTTTCAGACTCCAGACTTTTACATTTTTTTAACCCTCTAAGAATTGCTATGGAAGTGGTAGGAAGAAAATGGGAGTGAAAGACTTAAAACAGCAGAAATTTAAATGCTAATCTTTGAATGTATAAACTGTGCAGTCTTGAAGAAGTTAAATAATTCATTTGAGCCATTGTTTTTAATAAAAATAATAAAAGCCACTGTTCTCATAGGTTTGTTATAAGAATTAAATAAAGGTTAAAAATACTTCTTTATTTGTGTGTGTGTATAAAATTGTTGGTATTATTCTTCTGTTATTAATATCTTCATTATCATTATTATTACTATTATTATTTTTATTATCATTGCAGTACCCAAAGACAACATTACATCTGATTCTCTCCTTACTACAAATGTGGCTTCAGAGAGTACAGTTAGAGATTCTCAGCCTTCTCTTGATTTGGCAAGTGCTACAAGTGGAGATAAAATAGTTACTGCCCAGGTTGGTGAATTACTATTATATTGGGTATAGGCTAATTCAAGCTTCATATAACTAGCTGACTGAATTACTGAAACCCTCTTTCTTCTCTAGGCCAAATATTTCTTTGTCTCCCATGCCTGACCACCTCACTTCCCTTTCTGGCTTGGCTACTAACTAGTTTAATGAGCTAGCTAGTTATTTAGCATCTGATTCTTAGATGCCCTATTGATAAAACATGGGAAAAGTATTCACCTTGAAAGTTTTCTGTGAAAATGAAATGTGCTAATATATGCCAAGTGTGTGGCATGTTACATGTATTTTTAAAACCAGCTGCTTCTATTTTTAATAAGTTCCTTTTCCTAGATATAAAACACTTCATGTACTAGGCTGTACAAAAAAACTGCATAGCATTTTACCACAGCCAAATTCTGGAACTCGGGGTAATTTATGTAGTAGCTGAGGTGAGGAGTGTCAGCAGACCTGGAAATGTGACATTACCATCTTGTTATAACAATACAGTAGAGGTCACAAGCGGTCTCTTTTTGTAGAATCAACGTGGTGTTTGTCTTTTTAAAGCATTGATTTTTTTTAATCTAGAAGAATATGCAGCAACAACTATATGTGAATTTTTAACATATTGTTGTCTAGCTCTTTATATAAACAGAAGTCTTTAGCAGTATCCGCATATGGCTTGAATTAATTGCAATCTTAGTAGAGAACTATTGCTTTGAATGGGCTCAAATAAAATATTTGTGATACTACTAAGGCACTATTTCATGGGCAACAGTAATTTTGGTGTCTAATATCTTTCAACATGTAGAGAATGATAAAGGACTAAAATGGAATCATTAATTTACATTTTCAGTAAGCTCTATTTTCTGATTTGTGGAATTTTGTAGAAGTGTGCATGGTAATGAATAATTAAAATTTATAGAAATTCATTTAGTCTGTTTGTACAATTATAATTTTAGGAAAATGGAAAAGCACCTGATTTGCAGACGGTAGCAGGGGAAGTGATGGGCCCTCAGAGACCTAGATCCAACTCTGGGAGAGAGCTTACTGATGAGGTAGAATTTAATTTTTTTGTTCTTAAAAGCATAAAATGTAAAAATCCTAATGAGAAAATGAGAAAGTTCTAGAGATGGGTTGTGGCGCTGGCTGCATAGCAATGTAAGAGTACATAGCGACTTTACACTACACCTAAAGATAGTTAACACATTCTTGTTTCATGTTGCATATGACTTACTGCATTTTTAAATTGAAATTTCACATTTGTACATATTTATGGATTGTAATGTGATGGTTTGATAAATTGATACAGTATATAATGACTAAATCCAGGAAATCAGTATTTCCATCTTTTTGAACATCATTTCAATACCAGGAACACTTGTATCATCTTTTATATGTATACATAATAAATAAATATTTAAAAAAAGATGAGCTTTAAAATAATCCTAGTATTTCAGATGCTTTTTTAACATTTATTCGTGTGCATGCATGCGTGTGTGTACTTATGGGTACATGCATGCCACAGTACAAATAGGAAAGTCAGAGGATACTTTGTAAGACTCAGATCTCTCATTCTACTGTGTAAGTCCTTTGTATTGAACTCAGGCCATCTGAGTTGGCCTTAAGACCTTTCATTTGCTGAGCCATTTCCCTAACTCTATAATGGTTTCTTATTTTTTTTAAATATTTATTTATTTAGTATGCAATATTCTGTCTGTGTGCATGTCTGCAGGCCAGAAGAGGGTACCAGACCTCTTTACAGATGGTTGTGAGCCACCATGTGGTTGCCGAGAATTGAACTCAGGACCTTTGAAAGAGCAGGCAGTGCTCTTAACCACTGAGCCATCTCTCCAGCCCCCCATGGTTTCTTATTTTTGAACGTTAGAATGGGGAGCTAGCGAGATGGCCCTGCAGCTAAAAGCAATGGTTGTCCTTCTAAAGGACCCAGGTTTGATTTCTAGAACACGCATGATTACAGCTGTCTGTAACTCCAGTTCCAGGGGATCTAATGCCCTCTTCTGGCCTCCATCAGAATTATGTACATGTGGTGCCCAGACATACATGCCAGCAAAACACCATACACGGAAAATAAAAATAATTTCAATTCCTTGAAGGCCAATGATAGCAGATCATTAGTTTGAGGTCATCCTGACTAACATAACTAGACCCTTTCTCAAATGTGTTAAAATAATACATTTTTCTAAATTATACTTTGGAAAACAGTTCAACAGACCCTTTCTCAAATATGTTCAAATAAAATAATACATTTTTCTAAATTATACCTTGGAAAACAGTTTACCTTTTCTTAAAATGTTAATATTACCATGACCCAGCAGTTCCATTTTTTTTATACTAAAGAAAAATGGAAACATATTCACACACAAATGTACAAGATATTCAAAGCAGCATTATTTATAATTGCTAAAAATGGAAACAGCACAAACATGTATGATGGATGAATCCTTAAATAAAATATAGTATTCCCATTCAATAGTATATTTTTCAGCAGTTAAAAAAGAAAACGATATTGGTATTTGGATAAACCTTAAAAATAGCATGCTAAATAAAAGAATCAAGATGCATTGTATGTTAGTGTGTGTGTGTATGTGTGTGTGTGCATGCATTATACATATATTTTTTGAGTGAATTTATGAAATGTCCTGAATAAACAAATCAATACAGACAGAAAGTAGATTAGTAATTACCAGAGACTAAGAAATAATTAAATGGGATTGAGAGCTAATGTGCAACTGATTTCCTTTATGAGCAATCAAATATTATAATTTAATCATAAAGTAAGAACTATAATATGTTATTAACCATTGAATTGCATGTTTTAAGGGATAATATTTTATGGTATGAGAATTATATCTCAGCATAAATGTTTAAGTTTATTGTGCCCAGTAGTGACTATCTAGAAAATCCTTAACATTTTGAGAATTTTCTAGACTCAAAAAAGATAATTAAAGGCTGGAGAGATGGCTCAACAGTTAAGAGTACTACTGTTCTTCCAGAGGACCTGTGTTTGAGTCCCAGAACCACAATCCACAACTACCTGTAACACCAGCTCCAAGAGATCCAACACCTCTGGCCTCTGTGCACAACATACATAATTAAAACTAATATAAAAATTTAAAGATAATTAAGTTGAAAGTCATCTGGGTGTTATTTTTTACCTCTAGGAAATTTTAGCCAGTGTAATGATTAAGAACCTGGATACTGGAGAAGAAATACCTCTAAGTCTTGCTGAAGAAAAGTTGCCAACAGGTATTAATCCTCTCACTCTACACATCATGAGAAGGACAAAGGAGTATGTAAGGTATGACTTAATGTTATTTAACTTTTTTTGAACTACAACTGTCCCTCCTTAGTTAAACTCAGTCCTCTGTTTTAATCTAAAAGTAAAATTAGCTTGAGTATGCATTATTTACCTTTGATCTTTGCCTCTGATTATTGATATACCATGTAGTTACTTGTGGAAATTATTCTAAATCTTAAATCTCATACTATTTAGTTTCTTGTCATTTAAAATGATTTATGCTGGAGACAGAATCAAAACATTAAGACTAAAAAGCCATATGTGTGAGGATCATTTAGTATTCTAAAATTTTGCTTTGTAAGTATTTGAAAACTGCTTTAGAGCAAAACGATTGATTTTCATTATGAGATGTAATGAGGACCTAAGGAATAAGTTCTAGAAGAGCAAAGACCTTTTATTAAATTTAATATATGTTGTGCCTGGTGGACCAAGAAAAAGCTATCTACAGGTTATTTTATTGTTGATATACACAGACTTCATATAGTAGGATTTTAATAAGCTATTAAATTGCATTCATTTAAATTTTGCAAATTGCATCTTGCTTTAAGATTCCAGTCTTTACTCTTGGAAACTATTTAGTAATTCTCAGGTTATTCATTAATTTGAAGTTATATAAGCATATCAAGATAGTTTTTCTTATTCTGATTAGTTGCTGCATAGTAAACATAAAAGGATATTTTTGAGAAGAGAAATGGCTTCTTTTAAAATGACTCACCCTTCTTGCAGCAATGACGCCACACAATCTGATGATGAAGAAAAGTTGCAGTCACAACAAACAGATACTGACGGTGGACGGTTAAAGCAGAAAACGTGAGTTACTACTCTACACACCTTTCCTTCTTTTTAAGTATTTACTAGAAAAGGAAAAAAAATTCCATGCTTTTTTAATCAAAAAAAATGTAATATAAAAACTGTAGTACCAGATTGTTCTTAGCCACTTTTTACATTACAGTAAAACAGACCCTTTAAAGAGATGTGTCTGCTAAAATCAGTTACACTCTTCCAAGGCTTCTAACCCGACACTATTACCTTATATTACCATCATCCCAGTGTTATTCTCTTGCTTCTACTAACTGCCATAACCATACATTAATCTCCCAGGAAATTCCTAAGAAAATCAATCCTTGTCATATTGCTTGAATATATCTGCTACCACTTAATTTCAGTAACTTCTTTCTCATAATTTCTTTCAACTTGAGAGAATTGCTTTGAATGAAATATGTGGTTTCCCTCCAGAAGATTTTAAATCATGTTAAATATCTACCCAAACCATCTCTACCCTCTATTGGCTAACTATGAGTATCTTACATTTGTTTAGGTCGTCTTGAAAGCATCTGACATAAAGTAAATGACCAATAATATATTTTGTATCATCCTTATATTGTTTTCCATCCTAGATGCTAGAATTGTGAATAGAAGAACATCGTTGTCCTTAGATATCTTCCCCCTTCTCTTCATCTTTCCAAACCTTATTTATATTTCTTTCTAACTACTCCAGTTCATAGCAAATCTAAATCTATAGCCACATAACTTATTTTTTCCTCTTTAGCATGTTATCTTAATTCCATATTCTAATTTCAAAAGCAAATTATTTTATCAGTATATATTTTACATGTTCCTTATGACATTTTCTTACATGTGTATAATGGATTTTATCATATTCGCACCTATTGCCTTTTCTTGCCCCTCACTCCTGCTGATCTTTGTTCTCTTTTTAAATAGTTTCCCTTCTTCTTTCATATATTTTTAATTTTTTCATATTTTTATTTTTCATGACAAGTTTTCTCTGTGTAGCCTTGGCTGTTCTGGAACTAACTCTGTAGACCAGGCTGACCTCTCACTCACAGAGATCTGCTTGCCTCTGACTCCCAAGTGCTGGGATTGAAGCTTTGCACCACCACTGCCTGGCTGATTTTGTTTATTTGTTGTTTTGTTTTGTTTTAAGTTACCCAGTTTGTTTAATAAGGGTTACTTACAGGAGCATGGACAGTTTATCAGTGACTATGGTGAAGAAATGTTTCTTTCTCTTAGTAGCCATTAGCTTCCTATAGATCCTCAAGGAGGGTGAGCCTAAAGCAAACACATTTTAAATAGCTAGACAATGTGATATGAAAGGTTTATGATCATATGATTCTTCTGTTACCCCACAAATACATAGTATATAGGTGCTCATATAGAGTATGTCTGATTATGCCTGAGTCACTAAATTGTCAGTATTGTCATATAACATCCAAAATGTATGATCCACTTAAATCTGACTATTTAGAAAAGATGTACCAAAATGCAGATATATGTTAACACCAGGTGTTTGAAACTTGGCTGTCTAACACTGACAGCTGTCAGGATCCAAAGAGTTAGGAATTGTTCAGGAAACATAAACATCCAGGTGAACTGTCATATAGTTGATGCCCTACAGCTCATTTATGTTCTGTTTTGGTTTTCTTATACAAGTTGTCACTATATGGCTTTCTACACCAGGTCAGGCTGGTGTGAACTCACAACTTTCCTGCTTCTTTATCCTGAGTGTTGTGATTATAGGTGTGCATCACTATGTTCTGTTAAAGCTCATTTTCTAAGAAAAAAATTGTACTCAGAAATTTTTTCTTCAGAAAATGGGTCTATATGTCTCATTTTTTATTCATACATCATTTCTTAAATCTGGTCATCTAGTGCCCGCGCTTCTAAAGCAACAGAGAACCTGAAAAATTTGACATAAAAGTTGGCATGTGAGACTGAGACTGCTTGGTAATATTCTGATTGCAAGGTTGTAATCAGAAAATGATAAAAGACCCATACATAGCACAATAGTCTGTGTATATAGTAACTCTTTCCAGACTTTTTTCTTACAATCATACACATAGAACATAGAAATATTTACACTGGGCTGGGCGGTGGTGGCATACGCCTTTAATCCCAGCACTCGGGAGGCAGAGACAGGCGGATCTCTGTGAGTTCGAGACCAGCCTGGTCTACAAGAGCTAGTTCCAGGACAGGAACCAAAAAGCTACAGAGAAACCCTGTCTCGAAAAATCAACAAAAAAAAATATTTATACTGAATGATGAGATAAACCAATAATGCAGCCAGTAGACAGTATAGATTGGCCCCTGGTTCTGACTTTTCCTGGATCATAACAAGTTGTTTTGAAGACTGAGGAAGCAACTAGTAATTGAGCTTAAGAGAATCCTGTTCAAAAGGTCCTGAGAATAGTACAAGTGGTAACAGACCCTATTCATCAGTGAAAAGGAATCTACTAAATAGTACCATTTTAAAATCATAGGTGTCTATAGCTGAGCCTAGTGTATACACCTTTAATCCTAGCACTTGAAGGAAGGGTCAGGCAGAATCTCTGAGTTCAAGACCACCTTGATCTACAGAGCTAGTTTCAGACAGCCAAGAAAGACTACGTAGAGAAACCCTGTCTTGAAAACAAAAACAAAACATAAACATAAAACATATTTAGAACGTCACATCTACAGTGATTTAAATGTCTTCTTGGCTTTTAAATAGCAATCATCATAGTTTCATTTCCTGTTGGTCTGATAAACTACCCTGATAAGAGCATCTTAAGAAAGAAAGGGTGCATTTGGCTCACAGCCCATAATTGCAGAAATGTTAAGGTAGTAGGAACTTTAAGTAGATAGTCATAAGACATCCACAGTGAAGAGCTGAGAGCAGTGAACTAATACCTGCACTTAGTGCTCAGTTCACTTTCTTCTCTCTTAAACAATCTAGATCCCCTACCCAGGGAATGGCGTCACCCACAATCTTCCCATTATTAATCAAGATAATCCCCTCATAGACACGTTCACAGGCCAGCCCAATCTAGAGAGTTCCTTATTAAGCCACCCTTCTCAGGTGATTTTAGAGTGTGTCAAATTAGCAATTAAAACTAAACATCATTGTAATGAACCTATAGTTATCCATAAACTATAACTTTAGAGTAGGCACCTTATTTTGGTTTTAGAAACTGGTTTCACAGGGATGCTTTGTAGCTTAATGGTAGAGTGCTCACGTAGCTTATACAAGGTCCTGGGCTCAATCCCCAGCACTATAAAATTAGTTTTGTCTTCTCTGTTTTCTGATGACTGAAAGTAGCAACAGAAATGTATAAAATTGAAAATGAAAGTTTATGATTATTTCACAGATTATTATCAAGATTCTTTAATTTCTTTGTCAATGCTGGCGAATCAAAGCTAGGGACCAGCACATGCTAAGCAAGGACTATGAGCTATACCCTAGAATTTTTTGGTTCTCATAAGAGAGGGGTTACATTATGTCTGTAGATTCTTAGCTTGCTTTTTTTTTATTGTAAATCAAATACGTCATGGTCATCTCTTCATGTTAGCACAAAAGACAAATACATTGATTGCAGTCTTTCTATGAACCACACAGGAATTAGTTGCTGTGGATACAGTAGTTAAGACAATTACACTCATACCTTCAGGGACCTTCTGTGTAAATGAGGAGGCAGATACTGAATATGTAATCATGCACAAAAGTGTACCTTTATTTATAATGATTGCTGTAAAAGAAAACTGCAAGGTGCTATGAAAGTCTACAACAAGAAAACATGTTTTGGCTCAAAGAAGGTCTTTTTGAGAGAAGATTATTTGATCTAAGACCTAAAGGGTAAATAAAAACTAGTAATCAGTATTGGGTATTTGAATCAGAAGTAACAACATGAGGAAAGACTATGAATAAGAGCTTGGCAATTCAAAGAGTAGGGGTTTGTTTTATTGTAGTTTATGCCAACCCTTATTTATCCATTTGGCTGTTGATTGACATTTATATCTTTTCAATTGAATAGAGAAAATTTGAATCATGTTTATATAAGCTTTGATGCTTGTGTAACTTTGTGTTTGGGGGTGTCTATTGAAAAGCTCGGCCTAATTTTATTGTTGTGAATACCCAGATTAAAGAGAAAACACACTAAGTAGGTCCTCTTAGGCTTCCCGGGTATTCTATTTTGTAGATCAATGACTTTCTTTAACCCTTCCTTTTTGTTGGTAAAATGCGTTCTTAGAGATAAGTCTCTAAAGTAGTTTTTTCAAAATTATTTAACTGCATGTTTATAGCTTCACCAGGAACTCTCCAAATCAGATTATCTGGGGATAGGACCCATAGATCTGCTTAAACATGCTCTTCCTCAGCCCACCATTGCCAATAACACTTGAACAGTATGGCTTTAGAATAAACTTAATTGGGAGAAATTTTATTCATATATTTTTGAAGGTTATTGTCTTGAATATGTTCATTCCATAAAACAAGGAATCTGATGGGGCTGGAGAGATGGCTCAGTGGTTAAGAGCAGTGGCTGCTCTTTCAGAGGACTCAGGTTCAATTCCTAGAACCCTCATGGTGGCTCACAGCTGTCTATAACTCATAGACATAACTGCAGACAAAACACCAATGTACACAAATTAAGTAAATTAAGAAAAAAAAACAAGGAATCCAAGAACTTGAATACCTACATTTAATGTTTTAAACAATACATCTTAAGTTTGTGGGTAGTTCACCTTGCACAATTGTGTCACTACATTTTTGTGTATTTTTCTTCAGGACTCAACTAAAGAAATTCCTTGGAAAATCAGTAAAGAGAGCAAAGCATCTTGCTGAGGAATATGGTGAACGTGCTATAAATAAGGTTAAAAGTGTAAGAGATGAAGGTCAGTAGCATGAGGATATTGCAACACTCCATTAATGTGTATTTTCTAAATTTAGCTCGGCGTTTATAAAAGGCACTCTATATCAATGAACATAATAAACTTTTATAGCCAATATCTTAGTATTTCAATAAATCACAAGTGTCTCCCTTAATTTTATAAATATGAAAAAAGATAAATGTATCCTTTTAAGTATGAATTGGTTCAGTATTTTGTGATTATAACAACTTTGAAGATTTATGGTACAATGATTAAGTGTAAATTGGTTTTGTCAAACCTTTTGGCTTTTAAAAATATTTTTAAAGGGTTGGAGAACTGGCTTAGTGGTTAAGGGCACCAGAGAATCCATCTTTAATTTCCCAGTACTCTCATGGCAAACTAGAACTGTCTGTAACTCGTTTCAGGGGATCTGACACCCACTTCTGGCCTCCAAGGCCACCAGGCACACACGTAGCACATAGACATTCATGGAGGCAAAACACTCATGCCCATAAAAATAAATAGACTTTTAAAGCTATTTTTTAATGAGGTAAACTTGTGACCAGGTAATTATTTCATTGGATAAAAGCAATTTTGCCATGCAAGCCCAATGGAGTTCTTTGGAACTCAGTTAGAAGCTAGATGCTATAGTATCATCAACATTTTATGATGACATAGAAGATAGAGAGAGAATTGCCCTCAAGGTGACAGGCCAACTAGTCTGCAGCATGTAGCACAGCAGCAGAGGAAAACAATAGAAACCCTGCTTCAAAGAAGGCATAAGGCTAGAACCACTCTCAAAAAAAAAATTCCTCTGATCTCTACTCTTGTGCTGTGGCATGTGCATGGGTAAAGGAGCTTGCTGCCAAGTCCAACAACCAGAGTTCAATTCCTGTAATCTGTTTGGTAGAAGGACAGAACTGAGTCCATATGCATCTCACGGCATGCACATGTAAACACCATAAATAAGGTAAAAAGATTTTCTTAATCTGCAGAGACTGTAGCCCACTGTGCCTTTATTATTCTACTCATTTGTTTTTATTAATAAGTGCACTTATTAATACTCACACAATACCAGATAATCTTCTTAGAATTAACCTACATTTTAATTAATTTAATCTCATAACTCAATGGAGTATCATCATTATCCTCATTTTATAGGTGAGAAAACTGAGAGGTATAGAAAGGTTGAGTAACTTCTCCACGGTCATGCAGATTATAAGTAACGGATATAAATTCAACCAATGTAACATCAGTCTCCATTTTCTCAACCAATATGTTACATAGTAATTGACAAATTTTGCTTCTCTATTTACTAAAAGTATACTTGATAATCAATGTATTTGAAAATATAATTGTAACTAGATATATATTAACCATTGAATTTTGTTACTTTTCTCTTCAGTGTTTCATACTGATCAAGATGACCCTTCATCAAGTGATGATGAAGGAATGCCATATACAAGGCCAGTTAAATTCAAGGCAGCACATGGTTTCAAAGGACCTTATGATTTTGATCAGATCAAAGTGGTGCAAGATCTTAGTGGTGAACATATGGTAAGCAACTATTTCATTTTTCATGACTGCTAGGGTATTTTTTGAGGCTTCTATTTAACTTATCTTTACCAATGTATATGCTTTTGCTAATTCAACTCAAGAGCACTAAATTTATATTAATTTATTTAAATTAATAGATAATGCAGTGTTTGTCTCGAATATTGTTTAAGGAGTAATGTTTTAGGCTGAATGTAGTTTCTTGGACCTATAATCGTGGCACACAGAAGGCTGAGGCAGGAAGATGAGATCAAGGCCAGCCTGTGCTATATAGGGCAACCCAATCTCAAAATAAAAAAGGTTTGCAATAAATAATCTCTAGGCTGTATTATTAAGAAAACTATGCAGAGAGACCAATCTTTGCAGCACTTAAATTAGAAAATAGTCTGTCACTTATAAAAGTATTTTAAATATTTCCAACCACAATTTAAATAAATATGGATACTTAGAGATTTTCAATAGCATACATAAAGCCCTGCTTTCAATCCCTAGCACTTTGGTAAAAAGTATTCAGAATCCTACTGTGTTTTCCACAGTAAAATATTCAGCCAAGCTAGAAATAGTTAGAGGTTTACATTCTTTAAGATTTCAAAAGTACCATACTGGGGATGTGGTTTTGTCGTAGTGTTTCCTTCATATACATGAGGCTCTGCTCTGATCACTAATACTGCAAAGAAAAAATTCAAGCCTAACAATGTAGACGGAAATCCTCAGATTTGATTGCAGATAGTGTCTACAAATCTAGGAACGTAAGGACTATAGCAGTTAAACTCAGACATAGGTAAACTAGGCTGTGCCCTTGATCAAGGAATCAAATAAAGCCTGCGTTGCCCTAACTACAAAGCAACTATAAGCAGTGGCCACATTGAAATTAAATTTTTGTGCTATTAAACTATACATCAATGTTTTAAATTTTACTGTGGTTTCATTTTGGAACTTACTAATTTTTTTATCTGTGAAGTTTACATTTATGTTTTTATTTTTTTATTAAAAATTTCCACCTCTTCCCCGCCTCCCTTTTCCCTCCCCCAACTTCCCACGCCCCACTCCCCTCCCCCTCCCTCTCCTAAGTCCTAAGAGCAGTCAGGGTTCCCTGCCCTGTGGGAAGTCCAAGATCCTCCCCCCTCCATCCAGGTCTAGGAAGGTGAGCATCCAAACAGACTAGGCTCCCACAAAGCCAGTACGTGCAGTAGGAACAAAACCCAGTGCCAATGTCCTTGGCTTCTCAGCAGCCCTCATTGTCCACCATATTCAGAGAGTCCGGTTTTATCCCATGCTTTTTCAGTCACAGTCCAGCTGGCCTTGGTGAGCTCCCAATAGATCAGCCCCACCGTCTCAGTGGGTGGGATACCCCCTTGCGGTCCTGACTTCCTTGCTCATGTTCTCCCTCCTTCTGCTCCTCATTTGGACCTTGGAAGCTCAGTCCGGTGCTCCAATGTGGGTCTCTGTCTCTATCTCCATCCATTGCCAGATGAAGGTTCTATGGTGATATGTAAGATATTCGTTAGTATGGCTATAGGATAGGGCCATTTCAGGCTCTCTCTCCTCAGCTGCCCAAGGACCTAGTTGGGGACATCTCTCTGGACCCCTGAGAACCCCTCTAGAGTCATAAAGGTCTTGGAGAGATTAGGGATACAAGGGTCATACCTAAATATAATAAAAGCTATTTACAGCAAGCCGACAGCTATCATCAAATTAAATGGAGAGATACTCAAAGCCATCCCACTAAAATCAGGAACACTCTCTCCATACCTCTTCAATATAGTGCTTGGAGTTCTAGCAATAGCGGTAAGACAACATAAGGGGATCAAGGGGATTCTAATTGGAAAGGAAGAAGTTAAACTTTCGTTATTTGCAGATGATATGATAGTATACATAAGCGACCCCAAAAACTCTACCAAAGAACTCCTACAGCTGATAAACACCTTTAGTAATGTGGCAGGATACATGATCAACTCCAAAAAATCAGTTGCCCTCCTATACACTAAGGATAAGGATGCAGAGAGGGAAATCAGAGAAGCATCACCTTTCACGATAGCCACAAATAGCATAAAATATTTTGGGGTAACTCTGACCAAGGAAGTGAAAGATCTATTTGATAAAAATTTTTATACTATGTTGAGTTCACCTTTATTTCCTACTTAAGTAAAAAGCCTCACCGTGCAGTGGTGGCACACGCCTTTAATCCCAGCACTCAGGAGGCAAAGGCAGGTGGATCTCTGTGAGTTTGAGGCCAGCCTGGTCTACAAGAGCTAGTTCCAGGATAGCTAGGACTACAGAGAGAAACACTGTCTCAAAAAAAACAATAATAATAATAATAATAATAATAAGTAAAAAGCCCATTATATTGGGATCCAAATGATTTTTTACTGTATTTGACTTTTATAGAAATAAACGCTATTTAAGTTAATTAACTTGCTTCTAACTTAGATAAAGAATCCATAGGCAGCTAATGTTTTTAATATACCTAAGTCTGTGTTATAACCTTATTTGTTGGAATAGGATTTGGCCTTCCTACTAAAGACTCCTATTCTTTAAAACTTTTCTGATCATATACATATCCAAAGATTTCAGTTTCTATAGAGAGTCTAGTCATGTACTGTAGAGAGAAAAGCAGAATAAGACCAAACTGTTTAGGTCCTTTGAAGTGTCTCATGATATGGGCACTATGCTATAGGCAGCTAAGGTAGGCTAGGCCTTATTCTTTTCAGTCCTGCTAAGGGACTGGAGTTTCCAAACCGTGGTTTGTGCTTCTAGCTACATAGGGACTCTCATAAATGGCACCTGAGGTTACCCTCTGACCTCTACACTTAAGTCCACACACACATGCCTATATGCAACCAAAAATACCCCTCATTTTTATTAATATGTGAACATAGTTTGGGGTTTTAAATTTGTTAGGTTAAAATATAGGAAATGTTAATGATCCTAACAGACCTTTCTTCTGAAAGCTTCCCTTTCTGGTAGCACTATTGCACAAGTGGCTGTAACACATGTTAGGAAAATTAGTGTTATCTTACTATGTATAATGCGGTAGAACTTTAAAGGTTGGGTTAAAGGAACGTCTCTTAAGCTTGTAAAGTCATTTTGAACCTTCTGTTTTCATAGGGAGCTGTTTGGACAATGAAATTTTCTCACTGTGGCCGATTACTTGCCTCAGCTGGACAAGACAATATAGTGAGGATATGGGCTTTAAAAAATGCTTTTGACTATTTCAACAATATGCGAATGAAATACAATACTGAAGGTATTTTTCATTTCATTAAATATCTAAGTAAATCTGTTTTTTTTTTTTGCGTTTTAGGTGTAGCATTTGTTGAGAATCCTCAGTTCTCAAACTAAAAATGCTTTGTAATCTGAAACTCATGAAATGTTGAAAAAGTGCTCAAAGGTTTCTAAGTTTAAAGAATTTTAGGTTTCGTTTTTTTTTCAGATTAGGGATGCTGAACATTTAAAGACCATGCAATTATTTAAAAAATCCAACAAGTTCCAAATCTAATAACGAATATTCAACTGTATTGCTTCCTTTAACTGGTCAGTGATTTGTAGGAAACACTACTTATCATACTAGCCAGCATTTACATCATATGGTGTTGTACACCTATAATCTTGACTCTTTGCAGGACTGAGGCAAGATGGTCAGAAATTTAAGGATGATATGGCTTATATAGCAAGACTGTCTCAAAACTAAATAAAAATAAGATAAACAGCAATAGCAAAAATCTCTAGACCTAATGAAAAGAATACCACATAGCTTTTGATTTATACCTTTTCTTGTAAATATGTAATTGTATCAAACACTTAGAAATTACTTGGTTTCCCCTGGCAACCTTCACTTCTATCCTAAATTAAAATGAAAGATTGAATTAAACTGGAGAAATAATAAAAATACTACGTATACCCACTATGTAAAGAAAGATTAAGAAAATTAAGCCATGAAGAATAATTAAGTTTGTGGATATATGAAATCAGTGGATATATGAAAAACTGTTAACTGACAACAAAAAACTGACCTCAGAATATTATGAATATATGTAAACACTATCACTAAAAATTTAATTAAGCAGGAACTCTAATTGTATGAGCTAACTTTCATATATATATATATATATATATATATTTGTTATTGTTGTTTTTCGAGACATGGTTTCTCTGTGTAACAGTCCTAGCTGTCCTGGAACTAGCTCTTGTAGATCAGGTTGGCTTCAAACTCCCAGAGATCTGCTTGCCTCTACCTCCCAAGTGCTGGAATTAAAGGTGTACGCTACCACCTCCTGGCCCAACTTTCTTATAATTTTTAATGTAACTAACTTTATCCACAAATCATCTCTTTCCTAATCATCTAAGGTTGAAAATAAGACGTTAAGAAATGGGAGAAAAGAAAATAGAGTTAACCATTGGTGAGAATATAGAGTGCAATACCAATTTAAAGAACACAGTATACCAGTCATCTATGATTAATCTCTATACAATCTGTCTCTCAGTCTAAGAAATTACAGTATCTCACTGTGATGCCCAGTCTGGCCTTGAACTCTCTTTGTAGCTCAGGCAGGCTTTGAACATAAGATCTTGCCTCAACCTCACGAGGATCTTGAGTTAATGGGGCTGTGCCACCAGACCTGGGGACCCTGTATTCTTTAGAAAACCTTTGTGGATTTCCTTAATGTATGTCATAATATATAATTGAAGATGATGTGACCAAATTTCAAATGGGTTACTTGTAGAGTGAGTGAGCTTTTCTTGTTCTACAAGGACATTTCTTGTTCTACCTAAGGCAAAAAGACAATTGCAGTTACCTTTGAAGCCTGACCTCAGCTCAGACCTTTTATTGGTCTTTTGCTGTTTCCCCTTGCTACTTTTTGTAATTAGTAAAAATGTATTCACTATGAATAATGAAGATTAGATGATATTTTGTTTACTAATTTAGGGAACTGTTTAAGCTCTTTTATTAAAATTGATAAAAATGATAAAGACAAACATGTAGGTGCTTGTGTGGTTATAGTTCACATTTAGAAAATGTGTTTTTCCAGGGTATTCTATTTTGACTATTATTATTTCAGAATATTTTTGTTGGTAGATTAGCTTATATTCATATATGTTTTTTAACAATTACTATGCTGCTTTTAGGCCGTGTGTCACCATCACCATCGCAGGAAAGTCTAAGTTCATCAAAGTCTGACACAGACACAGGGGTATGTTCAAGTTTTATGGTTACTTTTGTTAAATTCTATGATTTATTTGATGCCCTAAAATATTTTTCTATTATAAATTTTGTCAAGGTGTTAATTAAAATTAACACATAATATTCAAGTGTTTCTTCTATTTATATTCCCAAGTGAAAAATCATCAAGTTTCAGGATTGTCAAGTGGTGAATATTATTCAAGCTACCAACCTAATGATGCATACTTAAATAAAATACCACTTTAATCCAGGTTTAATATTTTTAAAAATATTAATTTTATAGTTTAATTATAGTTAAATTTTCTGATGTCTTTTTATTGCCTCCAGGAAAAAGATACTTCTTAATATTGCATCATATTGTCTTTCTAACTCAGTTCTAATACTCTGGTGTCTGCAAGTTCTACTTCCCATGCTGATCTGTCCTAAATATTCTTTCACAATGATATCTTTTCCCATGTATTTACTTTGTCCAGAATACCCTATCTGAATTCAGCTTAAATGGCTTATGTTCTCTTATTAGTTTCCCTAAATCCAGCAGGCAGAATTATTACTCATTGTGCTTTGATAATATGTCATGTGTAGTTTCATATATTGTTTACCATACTTCCTTCTGTTTAGGCTTTGAACTAATCCTTGACATCTTATTCCATGCTGACTGTAGTAGGTGTGCAGTCAGCATTGAAATCCCGCTTCTGTGCTTTTATTCTAAGTTTTTCCCTTATCTGAATGCTTCTAGTCTCCCTTCTTTCCATTTAAACTATGCCCATTCTACATGGCCCACTTTTTCTCTAAAACCTTCACTCACTAATGCATAGTGACAATTTTAACTGCTTTGGAGAAAAGGGTTTGTTTACTTATTAGTTTAATTTACTATAAAGCCTCTAAATATTTGTTGCTTTTGAAAGACAAACTATACTGCGTCTTGTTTATGCTTAGCAGCGTATAGATTCATAACTATTTCTGTCTAACCTCCCCACCCTGATCTCTAAGTGTAATTACAATGTTAATGGAGTATAAAACATTATAAATGAGAATTATTAAACTTCTTTAATAGAAAAGTTAGTCTTTGTCTTATGCTATTTAACTTTTTTCTTCTGAAACAATTGAGTAGTCTGTCATTTTCAGGAAAAGGTCATTTGAGATTGCTTTGACTTCTCTCATTCTTTCTCAAAACAGCTGAGAGAGGCTTCTGTCTCATGTCTTTTGGGGTTTGTTGTCTGGAATTATTTTTGAACCTAATTAGATACAGTGGAGCACAATAAGCACAGTAGAGATCATTTTCCTATGCAGTTGGTCTGGCTCATGGTTGGGTGTCTTAGCCCTTTTGAAGTGTTTTCACATGCTGTATCATCATGTGAAGCAGAACATGAAAGAATCTTCTGTACAGTGATGAGCCAAGGCCACTCGTCTACTCCCTAGCAGTGTTCCCAAACCTAGAATTATAACTCCTATGATGTGTCTTCTGATTACCGAAAGTAGCTCAGGAAGTGTAAGCGAGGTGCATGTTTAGCTTGCCCTGCTGTCTAAATGTTTAAAAATTAGTAGTGTTGGCTTTAGCATGGACTTTTAGCCTTCTGGGTTTTTCTAAGAATCTGCAGTTGGACAAGAGTATAATGTAGTGGTTCTGTGTACAGTTTCTTCTTAATGTTATAAATTGTAAGGATGCTTTTTTTAAAACCCTAGAAACTAGGTTTTTCTTGGGTAAATTTTTGTTCAGTATACTTAATTGGTGGAATGTCAATGAGTATTAATAACACTTAACAGCTACTTAAAATTATGGAGGGGAATAGATCATTGAAATGTTGGGGGGTCATAGATCAGAATCTAAAACTTGAATAAAGAGAGCTAGAAGGAATTGAGAAATTTTTGTGAAATTTGTGTCTACAACATTTTATAAATCTATACTTTATTACTTTCACTATCTAATTTATAGATAAAGAAAAAGAAAGCTTTGAAATACTAAGTAACAGTTTCACAGTTGATAAATATAGCATCAGAATTGGTCTCCACTTCTACCTCTATAACCTATGCTCTTAAGAATTATGCTACACTAGTTGCCATTTTGATATCTGGTACTTGTCTTCATTCAGTCCAAAAATATGTATTATTGAGTTCCTACAACATTTTAATATTTATTTAAATAACTGGAGAAGTAGTAAACAAAGAAAGAAGACAAAGCTATGTTATGAATATTAAATGAAAGAATAGAATTTTTTACAACATATTATTGAGAACCATCAATAGGTAAAGGTGCTTGCCACTAAGCCTTGTGACCTGCAGTGGATTCCCAGGATCCACATAATAGAAAGAGAGAATGAACTTTTATGAGTTGTACTCTGACTTGCATGTACTCATACACATACACAAATAACAAATGTAATAAAAAAGTTTTAAAGATACTTTATCGTGTTATGACATGTAAAAGGCTATATATGCTGAACATACATAATTTGGTGAGTTTGGTGATAAATGTACAACTATGGAAGCATAAAGACAGTGAATGCCAAAAATCTACCCATCGACTCCAGTTGTTTCGTCATTCCCCTTATTTATTAATTTTTGTGATAATTTTTGGACTATTATTTTTAATTTTAAGTCTATAATATAGTATATTAAGTATAATAATTGTTCTGTGCTCTCTAGTACTTACTAATTTTGTATAACTGAAACTTTATATGCTTTGAGTATTAATATCTGCTTCATCTTTCCCCTGATCGCTGGCAGCCCCCATATTCTGCTTCTGTGAATAGAACTATGTTATGTTACATTAATCGTTTATGTGACAACAATATAGTATTTACCCTTCTGTGTATAGCTTATTTTACTTATCTTCTAAGCTCATTCTTGTTATCATGAATGGCAGCATTTTCCTTTTAGGATAAATAGTATTCCATGATGTGTATAAGCCACATTTACTTTATCTATTCTTTCGTCATTGGCTGCAGTGAACATGATAGTGCAAATCTTTTAGATCCCGACTTCAATTCCTCTGGATTTACACCAGGAAAAGAGATTAATGAATCATGTAAGAATTCTATTTTTAATTTTCTGAGGAATCTCCATACCGCCTTTCCTAGTGGCTGAACCGATCAACATTCCCACCAGCAGTGCCTAGAGTTACATTTTCCCCCAAATTCTTGTCAGCCTTTACTATTTACTATTTCTATTAAGATAGTATTTTCATATAATATATTCTGATAACAGTTTCCCCTCCCTCAACGCCTCCCAGATCCTTCCTGCTCTCCCCCATCTAACTCTATATGCCATCTCTCTCTCTCTTTAGAAGTCAAACAGGTGATTTTTTTTAAAAAAAAGAATTTTTAAAAGCATAAGAAACACATATAGACACAAACAAAAACCATAAAAACACCGAACCAGAAACCACAGTATATAAACAAAAGACTAGTAATGCAAAAAAAAAAAAAAACCAATGTAAGACAGAAAATTCCAAAAGTACCATTGAGCCTGCAGTTAAGTGTGGTTTTTATATTGGGTGAGACTCAGATTGGCTACTCCTGCTACATTTGTGCCTTTATTGCACAATCAGATCATGAAGGCAGGTCACCATTGTAGATTGCAGGGTTTGTAACTGAATTTTTTTATGATAGTCATTATGACAACTGTAGGGCAATACATCATAGCATTTTTTTTTACTTGCGGTGGTACCAATCAAATCACTCAAATGGTTAATGATGTCCAATGCCTTTGTGTATACCTGTTCTCCGTTCAAATATTTTCTTTGGAGCATGCCTATCAAGTCCTTTTTTTTTCTCCCTCCCTCTCTCTCTTGTATGCGTGTAGGTGCTTGTGCATGCGCATGTATGCTGCAAGTGGTACTTAGGATTTTCTGCACACTAGGAAACTGCTCTAACTCTGAGCCACATTGGACCTTTGAACCATTTCTAATTGAGTTATCTGATTTGATTTTAGTTTAGCTTTTTTACTGTCCAGTTGTAGAGTTCCTTATATATTTGCATATAAAACTTTATCAGATATTTGGATGACACATAGTTTCCTCTATTTCTATAGCTGCTATTTCATGTGGTTGGTTGTTTTCTTTTTTGGTTTTCAAGACAGAGTTTTGTAGGCCTGGCTGTCCTGGTCCTTGCTTTGTAGACCAAGCTGGCCTTGAGCTCATAGAGATCTGCCTGCCTGTAGGTGTTGGGATTTACTTTTTCTCTAAAATGCTTTTGATTTTGATGCTTGTTTTTTTGGGAGAGGTGGTCTAAAACTTTCAGTGGATACTTAAAACTGTGGGTATAGCAAAACCATACACATGCAATGTTTTCCTTTTATTTGTAGACCTATGATGGGGTAGATATAAAAGATTTAATAAGACATTATGAAACAGAACAGTTATAGTACTATTCTGTACTAAAATGACATGAATGTTCTGTCTGTCTCTTGAAAGAGTCGAAGTAAATAACCGGAATTACAGAATGCACAGCTGGGAACAGAGGAGAGCGACTGCACTCTCCCGGGTCTCATTTACCTTTCGCACAATTTTTGGCAGCATAGCCAATAAATCATTGTCAGATCCAATGCCGAGAAAAGTTTTCTTTGTTTTTCCAGGAGTTTTACTGTGTAGGCTTTAAAGTCAATTCTTTAATCCATTTTAATTGATTTTTATGAATGGCATAAAATAAGAGTCCAAATTCATTCTTTTGTTTTTGAGAAAGGATTTCTCTGTGTAACTGCAAAATGCTTTGTAAACCAGAGATCCACCTGCCTCTGCCTCCCTAGTGCTGGGATTAAAGGCGTGCGCCACCACCACCTGGCTTGTCATTTGTGCAAAATCTGAAAGTGGTAAGGAAGTGATTCTGTTTGTACCTAGAAGTGAATATAATAATAATTGCAAGGCAGTTCTACTGTGTTCAAGAAATAGCATCCAGGCCTGGGTAACTGGAGCCAGTGGGCAAGGGGGAGAATTAAGTAACCGAGGTATGTGTATAGACTGTTACAAGAATATGTGAATGCTGAAAGTCAAACCTGGATCTTCTGGAAGGGTAGCCAGTCCTCTTAACCTCTGAGACATCACTCCAGCCCAAAAAGTCAAACATATCTAATCTAAAATCTAAAACATTTTGAGCACCAATATGATGCCACAAATAGTTTCACATCATGAAAACTTTCCTCATGCATAAAATGATTAAAAATAGAGCTGGTGTGGTGGCACATACCTTTAACCTTTAATCCCAGCACTCTGGAGGCAGAGGCAGGCAGATATGAGTTTGAGTCTGTCCTGGTCTACAGAGTGAGTTCCAGGACAGCTACACAGAAGAACCAAAAAAAGTTTATTAAAAATATTGAGAGACCTGAGGACTGGAGGTAGAGTGCAATGGTCTAGATTAGCTCTCTAGCACAAAAAAGTCAGTGAGATAAAATGCTTGTTTAAAAAGTGAAATCTGGTGGTGTTTAGGGGCCAGGGGCCTGGGCAGATGGTTAGGAATACTTGTCACTCTTACAGAGGACCTAGATTCAGTTTTCTGCACTGGCACAGTGGCTTACAGCCATGCAGACTCCAGTGCTATGGAACCTAACAACCTCTACTGACCGCCAAGGCATCAGGCATACACTTGGTATACACATATACATACACACATACACATACATCATACATGTATGTATGCAAAACACTCATACACATAAAATAAAACAAATCTGTTTTAAAAATTAAAGAGACCTGGAATCACTGTTAGGGGAAATGTGCTTAGAAGTTAATGAAAAATAAATAGTTATTAAGCAAGAATTTGACTTTTATGTAATAGGGCAAGACTATTAATGTTAGTTATATCTTTTATCGGGGCTCACTAGTCTGGTAGTTAAATTTGGGGAAGAAGTTGTTATCTAGAAGTGGTTGGTAAAAAGCCCAGAGCTCAATGTTCTGGTTTGCCTGCATGGTTCCTGTGAAGATGTTTATATTTATAAACTTTTAAGTTTCTCTGTGGGGCTGGAGTTATAGTCTAGTATTAAGAACCTTTGTCCAGCATGCACGAGACCCTGAATTCCATCCCCAGCACTCACAAATCACATTCCAGTATGGACAAATAATGTCATTGCTTATTTTCTACCCCATGACTACTGTTCATTTTCCCTATATTTTATTACTTTGATGATTTTTATTATTGAAATGTAATTGCATTATTTACCCCCATTCCTTTTCCTTCTTCGAACTCCCCCCACACACACACACACACGTACACACATACATTGCTTCCTCTCAAATTCCTGGCCTCTTCGTTTTCTCTCCTCTCTCCCTCCTATGTTCCCTCCCTCCTCCTCCCTCTCTCATATACACACACAGGTAAATAAATTAATATAACCTACTGAGTATGGCTAGTGTTGCTTATGTCTACATGAATTCAGTGCTGAACACTTGTTATTGTGTAAGCGGTTAAGGGGGCTTATCCCTTGGGAGAAGACTATTTCTCCCTCTGTCATTATCTATTAGTTGCCTATAGTTCTTTGTCCTGTGGTATGGTCCCAGGACATTTCTTTCCCACTTCCTCATTGCTTGTCTTTTGGTGTTGTCTTTGTTCGCATCTTGTTTAGGGAGCCATAAAGTAGAGGTATCATGGATGAAGCTTCTCTGTCATTTTTAGGAGACACAATCTCACATCAGATATCCTGGTCCTCTGGCTCTTAAAATCTTTCTGATCCTTCTTTCTCGATGTTCCCTAAGTCTTTTTTTTTTTTAAGATAAATAATTTTTTTTATTTTGGTGGGGGGACAGTCTCACTATGTAGCCCTGGTTGGTCTGAAACTTGCTGTGTAAATAGGGCTAGCCTTGAAATCATGGAGAGTCAACCTGCCTCAGCCTCTCCAGTGCTAGGATTAAAGGTACATGACACCATACCTGATCTTTTTTTTAAATAGGCAAAATGCATTATTTTGGCTTTTTTGGAATCAGGATACCTGGTTTGTACTCATCAAGTTCTCATATGTAAAATACAATTAATAGCTATGTCTCTGATTTGTATATCATTCACTTAGACAACATTTAAAACATTTTTTCTTGTTTTTTTGAGACAAGATTTCTTTGTGTAGCCCTAGCTGTCCTAGAACTAGCTCTGTAGACCAGGCTGGCCTCAATATCACAAAGATCAGCCTGTCTCTGCCTCCTGAGTGCTGGGATTAAAGATGTGTACCACCACTGTACAGCAACATTTAAAATTTTTGTTTATAATGAGGGTAAACTTTGACTTATTTTTTTTGTAGCCTAGGCTGGCCTCAGACTTGCTATACACTGCATACTAAGAGATGACCTTGCACTGCTGATTCTCCTGCCATCACCTTCTGAGTTTTTAAGGTTATAGGCATCTACTACCATGCCTGGATTATGTGGTGCTGGGGACTAAGTCCAGGTTCCCTAAGTCTTAGATGTAGGAGTTGTGTTGTAGATATAACCATCATGACTATACACCATATGATCAGTTTTTCTCTGCCTTTGGACCTGTTTTGATTTTCTATAATGGTCTCTGCCTATTGCAAATAGAAGCTTCTTTGGCGAAGGCTGTGAGTTACACTTATCTGTATGTATAAGGGTAAGTATTTAGAATGTAATTAAAAATTATGCTAGTTTAGTAAAGTGGCAGCAGTAGTTTCTCTTCTAAGATCCATGACCTCACTAGTCCCAGGTAGTTAGCTAGGTTTCTAATAGCAGGCATGAATTCCCTCCTGTTGAGTAGGCTTTAAATCCAATTATAGTTGTTGGTTATTGCCAGGATATGATTGCCACTGTTACAGTCTTAGAATACTTATTGTTGTGGTTTCTGGGCTTCTCAGATTGCTTGTCTCCCTTGGCAGCTGGCATAGCCTTGTCCTAAACTATGAAAGTTAGTCCTCAGGAAGGAAGCTTTCAAATGAAACCCAGCTCAGATCTTTCAAGACTTGTACTTTAAGCCAAGCCATCATTCTTTAAGTTATTGTTCTTCCTGCCTCCATTTGCTTCATCCAAATAGTTTTGGACATTGTTCAGTTTTCTTTGAAAGTTCCAGTAAGATCATTTACTTTTTCCTTTTCAGGATTCTATATTGGTTCTCCATGGCTTTATACCACCAAAACTTTTGAGCTACAAGTTTGAAATCCTTCACAAAATGGTCTTCTCTTTATAGTTCTGTGAACTTTTGTCTCCATCCTCATCCTAGTCACTCTTTCCTAAACATGAAATTCTTAGCTGGCACTCCATGTTTTCTTTCACACTACATGCTCTAAATCAGTTGAAAGAAGAGTTAGATAACAGCTGGATGTTGGTGGCACTTGCCTTTAATCCTAGCACACAAGAAGCAGAGACAAGTGGATCTTTGTGAGGTCGAGGCCAGCCTGGTCTACAGAGCAAGTTCCAGGACAACCAGGGCTATACACAGAACCCTGTCTCAAAAGACCAATAAAAGAAGGAGTTGGATGACTTTTATTCTACCTTGATTCTCTTGTTCACAGGTTGCTTTGTGACCTTCTAATGTTTATTTGGACCTACAAGTCTTTTTATTAATGTCTTTATAGTGTTAATATCTATTTCAAAGAGTTGCTAGGATTCATTCAGATGATGGATACACAAAGCATGCACTAACTAAATTTTGGCATGCGTGTATAGCATTATTTTCTACACACTTCTGTCTAATAGCAGAAACCTAACTAAAAATGGCTTAAATAATGAGGAAGTGAGTCTAGAGGTAAGGTTTCTTGTGGTGAGTTATCTCAGTAGTATTATCAGGGGCACAGAGTCCCACCAGTTTCCTGCTTTCTACTCTCTTTTATCTTGGACCTTTTCTGCCTTATGGTCATAAAAGGGCAACTACTGTATTAAATGTCACACGGAAACAACAATGTTCAAAGGCAGAAAAGGGGAAAGTCTCTTAAGGGAGCTCTGTTGAACACACCCTGTGGCTAAACTAGTCATCCTTTGGAAATGGAGAAAGCTAATTCTAAATTAGTTTAGCCTAGTCATGACTCAAATCCTTGAGCTGGCCCTACTTCTCCTGAAGAAATAGATGCTAGAAAAAGGACAAAGAAAGGACTCTTATAGAGAGAGGAAAGACTATGATAGCAGGGTATAATTGCCCCAGGAATGATTCTAATTTGTTACTGCATGGAGAGAAAGAAAGGTGGTAAGTAGTAAATCAGCATAAAAAGGGGAGTCTGCTTTGGGTGGCTTGAAATTTCAATTGGGCATCATATAAATTGATGAGAGAACAGGTGGGTGGGAAAAGTATGAAGTTTTTGTTTTGATAGCACTACAGCTCAGCTTTAAAGTTTGTTTTATATCAAACTAGGTATGTAGCGGAACTGATGAAGACACAGATGACAAAAATGCACCATTTCGGCAACGGCCCTTTTGCAAATATAAAGGACATACTGCTGATCTCCTTGATCTTTCATGGTCTAAAGTAAGAAATTATTATTTGAATTACGCATTAATTCTATATGACTTTGACATTAGGATTTAAAAATGTTTTATTTGTATGCTTATTATACTAGAAGGCTGTCAACTTTGTGAAAGTTATGTATAAGCTAATCTGAGTTCTAAAAAGAAGAATTTAAAAGTGTTCATATTGCTTAACAATTTAGATCTATGTATTATTTGCCATTTGCTTTTTATATGCAGTAATTTTTAGAAAGAAATGATCCTTTGCTCTAAACAGAGACTGCTCATTCATTTCCCAGCTACCCAGACCCAAATAATAACACTGACACTATATTAATTACAACACTGTTTAGCCAATGACTCAGGCATATTTCTAGCTAGCTCTTACATCTTAAATTAACCCATTACTATTCTTTTATATTTTACCACAAGGCTTGTGGTTTGTTACCTCTTGCTTCTTGGGCAGCTACATGGCGTCTGTCTCCTTCAGCAGCTACATGGCTTCTCCTTGACTCTGCCAACTCTCTCTATATTATCTTAGTTCAGATTTCCCATCTGGCTTTATTCTGCTGAACTGTTGGCCAAAACAGGTTCTTTATTAACTAATAGTAATAAAACATTCACAGCATACATAAGGGAATCCCACATCATCTCTCCTTTTATGTCTAAAGAAAAAGAAAGGTTTGAATTTTAACATATTAAAATTATGTATATAAAACAGTTATCAAGCAAGAATCATAGTTATAATATCTAGTCCATTTACATTTGGCAAATTAAGGAAAATACTCGATCATCTATCCTATTTTTGTTAGTCTAAAGTTTTATATCCAATTTATCTTTGATCATAACTAAGGAAAACTGTTAACTATCTGTCTTCAACTCTGCAAAGATCCCAAGATATAATATTACCTAAGTAAATAGGAAGTGCATTGTAAACAGTTGCTTCCAAAACTAGAATTGACAGAGACATCTCGCTGCCTGGACAGTCACCCAAAATTCTTTTGTAACATTGGGACATCCATATTCAGCTTACAGGTCCATAGTATCTGGCAGACTTTTCTGTGAAGCAGAGAATTTGGAAGACTATTCTGTCTATATTAGCAGTTTGTCAGTCATTCTCTTCTGTGTTCTATAGAATGTCTGGCAGACTCTTTCATGAATCAGGAACCCTGAAGAACTATCTGACCTTCTTTAGGCAAGTTAAGCAGTCATTTTTCTGTGGGTCCTGCATGTCCAGCTTGTATAGCATACCATCAAGCAGTCCAGGAAAGAACAGTTTCTTGCCCAAATGACTAGCCTTGTCACATTGAAGGCAAATTCCATAACGAGTTTATTCAATGTCCATCAGCCTCTCTGAAGTAATTGGTGTTGCCAGAAGCAGACATGTCTAACTGTTGAGAAAAGTCTAAGTTCTTAAAACCTTTTAAATATCTTTGAAAGGTTGAAGATTAACTGAAATACATCTCTGTATATCTAGAAAACCTAACATTACTACAAGTTTGACTATTATAAATGACTATCTATTATTAATCTATAATTTTTAATTTTATATTACATTTTAAATGAGCTGTATAAACATAGTACCTTAAACAAGAGTAAAATATACATATAACAAAATTGACCTTAATTTTGTATCAATAAATGAAGATCCATAACAATGTAAAGTTTTCTTCTTTATATCATATCCCCCCTCTTTTTTTTAAGAAAGAGATTGACTTGACCATTTAACCATCTATAATCAACCCTCTTTAAATAAAAACAAACATTTATAAACAATCGTTTTGGGAATTTGTGCATTGTTTTCTCTCAACTATTTTTCCTGTTGTTTGTTGGATGAAGTATTTTTAGGGTTCACAGAGACTTTCAGAGGGGTCTTTTCCCATCAAACAGCATTAGTCTGGAAGGAACCCACAGGTTCCCACCCTCTGTCGAAACAAAAGCAGACCTCTTTTTCAAAGTAACATATACTTAGACTCAAATTTTGAAGTTAAGATACTTTTAAAATACTTATGTTGGTTTAGTTTAGCAGCTGTACAATGAAATGTTTTTCTGTACTTAGCCCATCCACAGTCAAAAAATTAAAAGAAAACACAATAATATACATAATCTAGACTCTGTATTTTCCATCTTTATGAGGCTTATTTTTTAACTCTATTACTTTTTAATACTTATTTTATTGTCTTTACTCTTTTCATCTATGACTGTATTCTTGTCTATACTCTTTTTCCTCTCTTCCAAGCCTACATACATTTTTAAACACACTATGATACAATCAGAGGTTTATTTTTATCTGAATCTATCTTTATTATGTATCTGTAATCATTTTCTGACCAGGAGCCCCCCCCTTCTTTTAATGCTATGTGGGTGTGGCTAGGACCAATTCTGCAGTTCTGCCTGTTTGCTCTGCCCAGTCCAACATGGCAGAGGCATGTTCACCACCTATGTAAACCATGCTCACCACCACAGCTCCAGGGGTGCAATGGGTTTATGTTGCCTTTAAGCACACAGCATGCTGCTCACAAACCCCATTTAAGTTCATGACCTCTTGAAAGAACCAGAGCTGTCTGTCCCTGCTGCCAGCATGAACCAAGAAGCCAACCAGTTTTTGCTGGTAATGCTGAGTCAGGAAACCTTTTTTTAAAAATATTTATTTATTATGTATACAATATTCTGTCTGTGTGTATGCCTGCAGGCCAGAAGAGGGCACCAGACCTCATTACAGATGGTTGTGAGCCACCATGTGGTTGCTGGGAATTGAACTCAGGACCTTTGGAAGAGCAGGCAATGCTCTTAACCTCTGAGCCATCTCTCCAGCCCCGGAAACCTTTTCTTAAAGGAGCTGTGCCTCTGCTTGCTACTAGCAAGCAGAACCTATCTGGGAAAAATAGCGACTACCAAGAAGCTGTGCTTGGCTCCCTTTTTTTGTGGGTCTAGAAGCCATTTTTTTAAAAGCTTTTTTAGGTTTTACGTGGATCCATGCCCTAGACAGTGGGCGTCATTTTGTAAACAGAGGCTGCTTACTCATTTCCCAGATGCCCAGACCCAAAAACTTCACAAAAGTCATATCCACAAAATGGATGACTACAGCTACAAATATCAAGTCTGGTCCATCTTTAAACCTGCTTTAAGGCTAACTTGCTACCTTCATGCAATTATTTATTTTTCATGAAATGTTCATTTTGTGATTCTTTTCGATAGAGTAATAGTATAACTTCAGTAAAGGGACAATTTTGCCACTAAATACCTCAGTAGTTTTCTAAAAAATTAAGATATCTCGGATTTTAAATAAGGTATTTAAATATGAAACACCTTAGCATATTTTGCTTTGGTTTTCTGAGACTGGGTTTCTCAGTAGCTATGGAGCCAGTCCAGGAACTCACTCTGTAGCCTAGGCTGGCCTCTGAACTCACAGAGATCTGTCTGCCTCTGCCTCCTGAGGCTAGGATTAAAGGTGTACGCCACCACTGCCTGTTCACCTTAGCATTTTGCTTTATACCTTAAACTTTGTCAGTAATCAGTATCTAAATACATTTAAAATTTAAGAGAGAAAATAATATCTGAATACCATGACTTGAGAAAAATGAACTGTATTAACTAAACAATAATACCAGAGATACAAACGGTATACATATATTTTAATTATGTCAGAAAAACCCTGTGTAGCACAGAGATATTAATGGTATATTTTGGTAAACTAAATCAAGCTGTGCCTGAACTCTGTTTGCTTACCTGTTTGTTGCTTTGTTCGTTTCCTTGAGACAGAGTCTCTGTAGCTGAGGGTGGGCTAACACTCATTCTGTGACCTAGGTCAGCTTCACACTCACTGTGATCCTCCCACCTCTGCCTCCGCCCCCTGCGTCTGTCTGCTAAGTACCAGGATTATAGGCTTCCATCAACATTCCATGCTATGCACCACTTTTGAGTCAGTCCATTTGTGAATTGCTGATTCCCATTAGGTGTTCTTGGTGTTTTATATTTGCCATAGTTGATATCTCTCTCTCTCTCTCTCTCTCTCTCTCTCTCTCTCTCTCTCTCTCTGTGTGTGTGTGTGTGTGTGTGTGTGTGTGTGTGTGTTTCTCTCTATTTCTGTCTGGTGGTCTGCTTTTTAAATCAAATACCTTGCAAACTTGAGGACCTGAGTTTGATCCCAAAATTTTACAGTAAAAAAGAAAAGCAGACATCATAATCACAGCACTGATTGGAGGAGACACATAGACCCATGTGACTCTCTTTCCCTCTGGTAAGTCAGCCTGACCAGCTTGGAAAATTCAAGACCAGTAAAAGACCCTGTCTCATAAAATAAGTTGTAGCACCTGAGGAACAACACCTAATGTTATCCTCTGACCTCCACATGCATGTACGTACACATTTACGTGTACATACATGAACACAAAGAGGAACAGAGCACCTTTTTAAAAAAATATTTTGAAGTTTTGGTTTTCAAATTTTAAAATTACATTTATTTATTTGCGTGTGTGCACTTGTGTGTACACAATTTGTTCCTCTTACCTAATTGCATTTTGATGCAACACTAAAGAGACTCAGCAGGTTGTCTCTCTCTCTCTCTCTCTCTCTCTCTCTCTCTCTCTCCATCTCACTCCCTTCCTCCCCCTCTCCCCTGATTAATAATGATAGTCAATGAAGACCTCAATTCAAGGGGGAGTAAGTGAGGGCACAGGAGGGGTTGTGGCAGGAAGGAATATGGGAGGCTTTAGAAGAAGGAAAGGAAAAGGGGGGAGTGATGGAATTATATCTTAATTAAAATGAAAGAATAAACCAAGTTTCTAAAACAATTTCCTACTAGATATTCTGTATTTCAGATTCACTCAAAACATATTTGTTGTTCTCTTAACCACCTAAATTAAGGTCACGACTCTGGAGACAGACTCCCAGTGTTCCTATTCTAACTACTTTGCCCCCTTGTTGTTGTGGGATCTTTGGCCACTTTCCTTAACTTTACTATACAGCACCTATAAAAATAGGCATAGTAAAAGTAACTTCTTTGCAGAGTTGCAGGGAAAGATTAACTGAGTAAATACAAAGCACTATGTAAATAGGGCTGGAGAGATGGCTTAGCAGTTAAGAGCACTTGCTGTTTTTGCAGAGTACCTGGGTTCCATTTCCAGCACCCACATGGTGGCTCAAAACCATTTGCTTCTCCAATTCTAAAGGATCCAACAGCCTCTTATTGCCTCCATGGGCACCAGATATGCATGCAGTACTCATACATTCAAATGGCAAAACACCCATACACATAAAATAAATCTTAAAAAACAAAACCAAACAAAAAAGTACTTAGCACACAGTAAATGCTCAGTTAATATTACCTGCAAATGGAGCTGGGAATATGGCTCAGCAGTTAAGAATGAATACTGCTCCTCATGGAGAGGACCCAAGTTGGGTTCTCAACATCTGCATGGGGCAGTTTACAACTGTCTATAACTCCAGCTCCAAGGAGATACAATACCTTTGTTCTCCATGAGCAACTACACTTAACATTCAAATAACCCCCTACACACATATAATTAAAAATAGAGAAGTAAGAACTTTATCTATTATTGCTGAGTCCTAACGTCTTCCTCGGGGGAGGGGGTGAAAAGGCACGATGTCAGCAGACACAGACGCCAGGAGTCAGATAGAAGGCTCACAGCAGATTCATTTGTTTAACAGTGAGGAAAAGCTTATATACCCTCCCAGCACCCAGGCCTTCTGATCCCTTGACAGTTGACAGCTCATGCTCATCTCTCATTGGCTAGGCAAGTCAGGACCTCTGACAGAGCCTGTTGCTAGGCACTCAGAAACACTGTTTGGTTGCTCCTTATTGGCTAGGCACAGACAGGACCTTTGACAGGTTCAGGCAGACTCCAGGTTGGCTCCTTTTGGCCTGGTAGGCCTTAACTTCCTACAATGTATGAATATTCCAGTTAGAGGACTTTAGGCAGCAAGGTCACCAAATTTAAGTACTTTGCGTGTGTTCTCTATTTGTGTTATCAAAACAGGTGAGGTCACTGATGTTTATCAAGGAGTTGAAAAAGATGTATATGAGTTAAGGAACATGCTGACAGGCTTGTCACTATGGAGTAGGGAATTGTCTTTAGAACCATACTCTCTCATCCCATTCCCATGTCACAATAGCTCATCACCTTACAGAAGCTAGCTTACAAAAATTGAAAATGCTGAATATATTGCAAAGATTTAAGAATTATAAATACTTCCTTTCCTGCATTCTTTACAAATGTTGTACATCAATAAAATCAATGAAATCTATTTAGTATCAGTCTGTATACTTGCCTTATGACTGGTGCCAGTTTGTGAGCTGAGACTTCCTGATTCTTGAATACTATTCGTAAGGGAATAAACGGAAAATTTGTCATAGTTATTCACATTAATGTGTGTGTGTGTGTGTGTTTGTGTGTGTGTACAGACATGCATTGGGGCAGGGCAGAAGACAGTCGTAGGTGTTGCTCCTTAGGCAGCATCTAACTTTAGTTTTATGTCCAGATACGTTTATTGGGCTGGTTCCCACTCATCATGAATCAGAGTGTCTTTGATGCTGCTTCCTCCTGAAGGAGCATCCTCTGTCAGCCCTTCCTGACAATGAAAATGAGTATTGACTTGTTTTGTTGAATCCTTCCTTCAGCTATCTTACTAAGTTTTAAAATTTTTGAGATTATATCATTTCCCTGTTTCTTTCTTCCCTCTGAACTCTCCCATGTACCACCCACTTCTTGCTCTTTTTCAAAGTCATGGCTTCTTTTTTCTTTTATTCATTCTCTCTGTGTATGTATGTTTGTGTTTTCCTAAATGCATAAATACAACCAGCTCAATATAATATAGTGTTACTTTGGTTTGCTTTTCACCGGGAAAGACCTAACTGCTACTGTCTTAATTACTTTTACTGTGAAGAGACACCATAACCAAGGAAGCTTATAAAAGAAAGCATTTAATTTGGTGCTTGCTTACAGTTTCAGAGGGCAAGTCCATGATCATCATGACAGGGAACATGGCAACAGGCAGGAAGTCATGGCATTGGAGCAGTAACTGGGAGTTAACATATTGAGATAAGAGAGAATTAGCTAGGAATGGCTTGGGCTTTTAAAACCTGAAAGTCTACTCCTTAGTGACAAGCCTTCTCCAACAAGGTCACACTTCCTTATCCTTCCCAAACAATTCCTCCAACTATGGACCAGCATTCAAATACATGATCCTGTAGGGTCTATTATCATTCAAACCACCAAAGATGTCTAGATCTTATTCACAATAAGAGTCTAATCTGTTAAAGGATAGCAGCCAAATCTTACTTTACTATTATGTCTCTTCAGTGTCCATTAGAATCTCTGTTTGTAGTGAGTTTTTTTTTTTTTTTTTGGTTTTTTTCGAGACAAGGTTTCTCTGTGGTTTTGGAGCCTGTCCTGGAACTAGCTCTTGTAGACCAGGCTGGTCTCGAACTCACAGAGATCCGCCTGCCTCTGCCTCCCGAGTGCTGGGATTACAGGCGTGTGCCACCACCGCCCGGCTTGTAGTGAGTTTTCTATTTTTCAAATACTTGTTTTATAGCAGCTAACACAATATTATATCATAGAGTAAAAATCCCATGTAGGAAAGATCTTTTTGGCTTTTCGAGACAGTTTTTTTCTGTAGCTTTGGAGCCTGTCCTGGAACTAGCTCTTGTAGACCAGGCTGTCTTCGAACTCACAGAGATCCTCCTGCCTCTACCTTCCGAGTGCTGGGATTAAGGGGCTGCACCATCACTGCCTGGCAGGATCTTTTCATTGTATAGATGAGAGTCCTACATTCCCTGATCCATCTAAGTATTATAAGTCTAGTTACATACAGAATTTCAGTTTAATATACTTTATGTGACTCCAAAGTTCAGCAATGAGTTGAAGAAATTATTTCAGGACTAGAGAGATGGCTCAGCAGTTAATAGTACTGGCTCATCTTCCCAAGAACCTAGGTTCAATTCCCAGCACTCACATGATGGCTCACAACTATATGTTCCAGTTCCAGAAGATCCAACACCCTCTTCTGGCCTTTTTGAGCACCACATATATACATGGTATACAGTCATACATGCAGACAAAACATTCATACACATAAAAATTGAAATTAATTTCATTTAGTAAGAATTTATTGAACAAAAATTCTTGGCATAGTAGAATAAAATTTAGCATGTCTTTAGCATATATATTTAGTATTTTAAGAATATATTCATCTATGATATGCTTAAAGTAAGAGCTGAATAAAGCCAAATTTTATTTGAGTTGTTTTGGTTGGTTGCTTGGTTGGCTTATTTTAATGCTAATCATACACTCTCCTACTGAGCTACACCTTCAGCTCTGAAGGAGCTACACCTGCAGCTCTGAAGAAGGCTAGTATTCAAGAGCACTGCACCATAAGTTTAGTGCTATTAATCAACAGAAAATTAGAATGCAAACTATATATGTTCATTAAAACTTTTCTGGAATTGGATTATCTTTGAAAGTAAAAATAATTATTAGATACCCCCAGAGTCTATTATAGATCTTCCAAATTTCTCCTCCTTTTTTCTGCTTTGTTTCTGAATACTCAGGGTCAGTCCTAGAGTCTTGCAAGTTCTTTCCCACCATGTGTGCTCCAAAGCTTTATTTTAGTAATAAGGTATAGTATCTATTTAAAGATAGGTATTTTAAATGTGTTTTATAGAGTAGCTCATTACAGTTATATAGCCAAATAAATATTTGCAATTAGTCTTTCTGCTTATTTTTTATGATTTTTTGAAGACAAGGTCTCTTGTAGCCAGGCTATCCTAAAACTTACTCTGTAGCTAAGGATGACTTTGAATTCCTAATTCTTGTGCCTCCACATCCCCAAAATTAAAAGTATGAGCTGTCACATAGATAAAGATTAAGCGTTCTTAATTAACTTTGAGCAAATGGCAAAGCATTTTGGTGCTTTTCTGCACTCTGGAAAACATGGTCAGGGCCTAGACCTAGAGTCAGAGCACCTGCTCTTGAGCCCTATCTGTAGGCTGTGTAATCTTATGCAAGTTCTTTTTCTATGCTCCACTGTTCTCAGTTGTCACAAAGGATGAAAAGAATCTGCCTACCTCACAGAGTTGCTATAGTGCTAAGAACAAAGCTTTTAGCCAACTCTGTGTACTCGATAGATGTTATTACTACCTTGATTTGTTGATCGTCTTAGACATTTCAAAAAATACTGGAGTCGTTTTGAGTTTCCTCATACAGTGTAATATATGGTTTCACCCTTTAAAGAGATGAGTTTTAAAAGTTATTTGGCTTTTCCAGCTGTGTGCTTTTGGTGGGTGGGTGTTTGGTTCCAGGGTAATTGGTCAAATACAATGCCCAAGTCAGTTAGCCTACTTCTTCCAGCTCTGAAAATTCTATGATGTCTTCTGAGAAACTTGACAGTTTCTGTTCTCGAATTTTCTTGCCTACCGTGTGACAGGAGCACAATAACTTTTCATTTCTTGCTGCACTACAGAGTAATATTTTTGAAGACATTTTAAGTGACAATTAAGATCCATGTAAGTTAGAATTCACCTGCATTTTTGGTGTCAAGAATAGCTAAACTAAAATAATCAAATAAATAGATACCATATATTCATAGCTAAGTTTGAACATGTGCAGATTAAAATAGCTAAAGTACTCCTTACTACTTTGCTTATACCTAGCATACTTCCTATCATACATCATAAGATTCATAATAATGTAACAACAGGTAATGCTGAAATGTCTTAAAGTCAGTGAAATAGATACTAGTTTGAGAAAATAACACATTTTTCAAGTGAATTGAAATAGTCGTGTTCTTTGTGATGCTGCATATAGCAATAACATAGTATATAAAACTAAAAACTGGAAAATAAAACTGTGATTCTAGTTAAATTGTATTGTATAAGCAGTGTTTTAATATATACAGTAATAAAGTACTGATGTCATTTTCTCCATAGAACTACTTTCTGCTCTCTTCTTCCATGGATAAGACAGTCAGGTTATGGCACATTTCTAGAAAAGAATGCCTTTGCTGTTTTCAACATATAGATTTTGTCACTGCCATCGCTTTCCATCCAAGAGTAAGTAACCATTCACTCTTTGTCATGAGATGAAGGAATTTGATTTCTGTGGAGAGCAGTCAGGACTACAGGATAAAAAAAATCATTAGTGGCCACATAACTAAAAGCAAATTAGTGTCACATTTTGCTTTAAAAATGGGAAGGGAGCTGGGTGTTGTAACACAGTCCCTGCACTTGGGAGGCTGACACACATGAATCTCTGTGAGTTTGCGTCTAGCCTAGTTTATAGAGTAAGTTTTCAGACAGCCAAGGCTGATTAGGGAGACCATGTCTCAAAAACTGGGGAAAGGAACTGAGAATGTAGCTTAGTAAGGTATTTGTTTAGCAAGCAGGAAGCTCTGGGTTTAGTTGTGAGTACTACAGAAACTGGGTGTGGTGACACATGCCTGTCCTCACAGTTCTGGGAAGGTAGTGACTGAAGGGTCAAAAGTTCACAGTCACTTTCCACTACACAATGAATTTGAGGCCAATCCGGGATACATAAGAAGACCCTGTCAATCAATCAGTCAGTGGTTGGAAAAGAAATATTCTAATAATTTGTATTACAAGTGGGTAATTATATTCTAAATACAGTAGTAAAAAGCTATCCCAAATCCTTAATAGCTCATGAACTATAAATACAGTATACACTACGTATGGAAGATAGTAGAGAGAGATAGAAAAATAGCAGCTAAAAATGGTAGTGCATGTCTGTAATCCCAGCTCTCTTTAAACTAAATCAGGAGGATCACTAGTTTAAGACAGGCTGGCCTATATGATAAGACGTTGTCTCTAAAAGGAGGAAACAATAGGTGTAAAATGGTAGCAGTAAGTATATAGGTGAGAATTGTGGAAGGGGGACAAAGTACAAAAGACTGAAATAGGTAGCGACCACATTTCATTGTATGGTATCCTAAATTATTATTTAGGCTCTTGAAACATTGTTAATGAATATTTTGTGTGTGTGTTGTATGTGTGTATGCTTGCATGCATGTGTGTGCACTTGTGTGTATACATGTGCATATGGGAGTATACTTGCCATTGTATTCACTTGTGGAGGCTAAAGTCAACCTTGAATTATCTTCCTCTGTGACACTCTACCTTATTTTTAATAACTAATGATTTTTTATTGTTTTATGTATATGGATATTTTATATGTATATCTATGTACCACATGTGTGTCAGGTGCCCTCCAAAGCCAGAGAGGGTGTTAGATCATTCGGAACTGGAGTTACAGGTGCTTGTGAGCCACCAAATGGATGCTAGAAATTGCACCTGTGTCCTCTGGTAGAGCAGCCAGTGCTCTTAACTGCTGAGCCATGTCGCCCACCCTACCTTATTTTTTGTGAGAGAGTCTCTTTCACTGAACATGGAGTCATTGTTCTGGCTAGACTGGCTTGCCAGCAAACTCTCCAGAGTGTACTTATCTTGTCCCCTGCTCCAGCACTGGGGTTACAGATTTGTACCGCCACACCCAGCTTTTATGTAGGTGCTAGGGATCAACAATCGAGTCCTCCTGGTTAGGTAGCAAGCACTTTACCCTAACAAGCTATCTCCCCAGCTCTTGTTAGTCTTAATCTTGTTTGTTTCTTGTTTACTGTTTCTGAGATCAGGTTTCACTGTGTTGCTCTGGCACACATCAAAATCTCGGTTTCAAGTGTTCTTCCTGCCTCAACCTTTTGAGTAGTTTAACCAGCATCCATGAGAGGCTTCAGCAGTGAATTAAGTGTCTAATACGAAGAAAATGTCCTGATTATTAATATGTAATCCTTGTGTTTGTAGGGGGTGGTGCCTTCTCATATTATCTTTTGTGTATGTGTGCCTTCTCATATTATCTTTTGAGAAAGAGATTATCACTTAATCTGGAGCTCACCCATTTGGCCAGACTTGTTGGCCAGGGAATTCTAGGGGCTCTACCTTTCTCTGACCCCCAACACTAAAGTTACTAATGTGTGCCATTGCCATGTATGTGGGTGCTGGGGATCCAAACTCAGGTCCTCACACTTTACCAACTGAGCCATCTCCCTAGCCCCTAATAAGTAATTATGACATTACCAGAATTTAGCCCAGCTGAGTGGTAGGACTAGTGTCATTTACAGAGGACTTTTCAATCTTGACTCTACTGACATTGTTTGTTATGGGGAGGGATGAATGTCCTGTCTGTATATTGTAGGATGCTTAGTAGCACTTCTGGCCTCTATTTACAGTGGTAACATCCTCCCCTACACCAGACTATGACAATCAGAAATGTATGCTGACATTGCTGTGTGCCTAGGATAGAGTCAGTTTCTCTATATATAGAACTCTTAGTCTGTAAGTCAGTATCAGAGTTCCTAAAACGCAGGTTCAATTTGTAACTGGCGTTAATCTGGTATCGCAATGTTACACATGTCCCTGAAACATGTATGGCATAAGATAGTGTTTCCCAAAGCATACCCAAAGAAAATCCAGGGTGAAGGAAATTAAAAAGCCACTACCCACTTTATTCCCCCTTTTGGAGATTCAAAAATACAAGTTAACAGAGAATCCTATAAAGTTTTTACACTCCAGAATTTATTAAACTTAATTGATTGTAGAATATTGTTTCATGTGATGCTTACTCAAACATTTCTATTAACAGCCATACTTTGGAAAAACAGTTTAAGGATATGATAAAGTGATTTGAATTCTGTTTCTCCAACATGAAATCTGACATGTTTAATTGTTGTCATTTTTAGTGCACAGAATGGTGCTTGCTTGAGGACTGATTCTTTGTGGCTAGGTGTAAATGTAGTTTCACTGATAGAGTACTTGTTTGCATGCATGAGGCCCTGACATGACTCCCTAGTTCCCAGCCTTCACAAGAAAAAGCAGTAATAATTACTTTTCAAGTAAGATTTTATTTTAGATTATTATTTCTAATCTTTTATTTTATTAATTGGCCTGATATGAACATAAAAGCATTCTCTTTCGCCACTTTTTAGGATGACAGGTATTTTCTCAGTGGATCATTAGACGGAAAGCTCCGCCTATGGAACATTCCTGACAAAAAAGTGGCTTTATGGAATGAAGTAGATGGTCAGACAAAATTGATCACAGCTGCCAACTTCTGTCAGAATGGCAAATATGCAGTAATTGGGACGTATGATGGTAGATGTATTTTCTATGATACAGAGGTAAGAACCTTGTGGTTTTACACAAGTAATTCCTACCCTCTGGCCTTTAACTGCCTTTTCTGTAAAATAGGGCAAAAATGGTAATATCTGAAACTTAGAGCAAATGATCCTTGAGGTTTCTTCTAATTCTGATATTTTTAATTTATGATTTTTGTTTTAGCATTTGAAATACCATACACAAATACATGTACGATCTACTAGAGGGCGCAACAAGGTTGGAAGAAAAATTACTGGCATTGAACCTTTACCTGGAGAAAATAAGGTACTATAGTATTCAAAACCATCTCTCTCCACACTTTGTATTAATTCTTGAAAGATAGTCTTAATATCTGAGCAATAACATAGGGGAATACTGTTGTTTGTAGTTTTGCTGTTTATTTGCTTGGTGTTTAACACCTTTTGATGTTATGACTTAATTTATATTAAAAGGTGTTTTTTTTTTAAAACTTTTCTTTTAAAGAGGATTTCCTCTGTCTAGCCCTAGCTGTCCTGGCTGTAGACCAGACTAGGCTGGCCAAAAACTCACAGAGATCCACCTGCCTCTGACTCCTAAATCCTGGTATTAAAGGAGTGTGCCACCACCGCCCTTAAAAGATGATTTTTATTTTGGTTTTTCGACACAGGGTTTCTCTGTAGCTTTGGAGCCAGTCCTGGAACTCACTGTACAGACCAGGCTGGCCTTGAACTCACAGAGATCCTCCTGCCTCTGTCTCCACCACCTAGCAAAATATGATATTTTTAACTTTGCTTTTGGTTTGCTTTTAGATATTGGTAACCTCAAATGACTCCAGAATCAGACTATATGATCTCAGAGACCTATCACTGTCCATGAAGTATAAGGGTTATGTCAATAGCAGCAGCCAGATCAAAGCAAGTTTCAGGTAAATTGGCAATGGGAAATTCCCAAAAGTATGGCATTTCTTCACTCCCTGTTTTTCATTATATAAGGTTTTAAGTCTATATGTTTTTATAATCATATCACACACTATCATCATACAGTGCTTACTTTGTCTACCTGAATGGTAGGTAAGAAAACTACCCCTCTTTTGCAAATAAAAAAAGCAAAACCCAGAACATTAAATAATTGGCCTAAAATCATCATTGTCAGAGACATTAGAGCTTAGAAGATTCTTAGTTCCAGAATATTTGCTTTTCAACTTTCATGTAAGCTTTTAAGAGGCACTCACCCCCACCACCACTACATGCATATTGTCTTTATCCTTTTAGGTGCAGGAGCTAAGAAAGTATTTTATCACCCTAAAGTACCTTGTCATTATACCTTTACTTGTCATTATTCTTTCAGTTCTTAATTTGGGATCTGTGAGCTCTCCTGAAATAGGATTACCTGCCTAGCTTTTCTTCTTTCAAATTCTGCTATCAACTTTTCTTAAAAAATTAGTTCTTCTTGAAGTACCTGGTAATTACCCAGCCATTCAACTGATGAACTATCCTTTAAGTCACTAGTTCTCCTAGAGTGAATTCGTCAACATCACAGTTATCAGGACTTTGATGAAAATACTAGTGCTGATCATGGTTAGCATGATGAAGCCCAGGGTTGGGTGCTCAGCACTAATAATAATGTTCAAAAACTGAACAGCAGGTTACATCCCTATGTCTGGAAAGATTAGCCTTGTTATCACAAGAGATAGTATAGTCATTATAACAGTGCTAGAACAAGTAAGTAGCAATGAGCAACAGCACCAAAAAAGCCTGGCTCTGAATCAAACCACCTTTGGAATCTTCAGAATAAGGAGATGGCTCGAGTTTTCAACAATCTCCCTCAGGTGTTGTTTTAGATATTTTAAATTAGGAAGCACTGATAGAAGGAAACCTTGATTTTTTTTTCTGTTTATTTTTTGACCTGTCCTGCTCAAATATAGCCATGACTTTACTTACCTCGTTAGCGGTTCAGAAGATAAATATGTTTATATCTGGAGTACTTACCATGACCTAAGCAAGTTTACTTCAGTCAGGAGAGATCGTAATGACTTCTGGGAAGGTATTAAAGGTAAGCAAATGCAGCTTACTTATATGTATGTGCCTTATTATAAAGGAGTAGAGATTTGTTGTGACTGCAATGCTGGAAACATAGATGGACATACTTATGTCTCTCCACTATGTCAGAATTTATAGAATTACAATAAACTCACAAGTTACAACAGTTTTGTTGGCTGCAATTTCCCAAGAAGTCCCAGTTTTCTTTGATAGCTGGCCTTTGGCCAACACAGGCTCTTTTATCCCAATTCTTAAGAATTGTTACTTGTGTGGGGGTAGTGTGGGAGGTATAGTTCCACACATGACACTGTGCAAGTGTAGAGGCCAGAGAACAGCTCTGTGGAGTCAGTGCTCTCCTTCCCCTGTGGGTTTTAGGATCAAACTCAGGTCTCTAGGCTTGTGTCACAAGAACCTTTACCAATTGAGCCATCTCGCTGGCCCTTTCATTCCAATCTTAATTACTAATATTACGTTTCAAATCACACATTGCACATAATACAGTAATTAGTAGTTTATAGAGTGGGTGCAAAAGGGTTAAAGAGGTCACAGAGTTCAGGGAAGCTTTCCTGGGGCAGAGGCAGATAGATGCAAAGAGAGTCACTGAGGCAGTTAGAAAAGACATTAAGGAACACAACTGAAGAGCTTCTGGAAGCTCAGCAGAGCCACCCACAGCCAAACTATGAAAATACTGAACTGAAAAACAGGTGGCAGGCAGGCAATTCAAGTGGGACATTCCAGCAGGGGTACTGAGCGAGCTTAAACTCACAGGACAATTAGAAGTTCTCTGTTTCTGACATAGACCAGGTTGTCAGATAGCAGTTCACTGCATTTGTAACCAGTCATTAAAGTGATAGGTTCTATCTTTTTATAGGGTCCAAATGAGAGTATCCCACCTTTCAATGTGTTCACTAAGTTCTGGGGCCCAATTTTTTCTCTGATGAAGTTTTAATAGGCCCATGTAGTCATACGCTTCTAATCTACTTCGATGAGTTTGTAGGTGTTACCCTTGTAGCTTTAATAAGGTATCAGTCTGTGCTTGTAGTTGGTGCTGGACGGGTGATGGTGTCTGTGTGTACAAATGAGATGTAAAGCCATCCTGCCTCTGCATTTCTATTCAAAATGGAGTCAAATACTGCTTTGAAAGATGGAGCCACCCAGAGCAAGACTTGGAGAAACTTGGAGCAAGGCACAGCTTGATCTTCAAGACATATTCTCAGTTTAGCAATTATAACTCATTGTATTTCAATAGCAAACTATTTCAGTTTTCTATACCAAAAAAGAATTTTCTTGGCCTAAAATTTGAAAAATATGGAAACAGAACCTATATGAGATAGTTTGTTAAAATATACTTCTGGGGTATAGAAAAAAATATACTTCTGGGTTTTAAATTAGTCTTATATATTTTAAAAGAGCTTTTTCATATTCTCGTTTTTTGTCCTCATGTTTAGTATAAAATTTCTCAGTTATCCTAAAATAATTTTTCCCAGCACATAATGCAGTTGTTACATCAGCCATCTTTGCTCCGAACCCGAGTTTGATGTTATCCCTTGATATACAAACTGAAAAATTAGAAGGGACAAGTGAAGATGCTGAAGTTTTGGATAGCACATCTACTGGTAGGTGCCTATATTTTATTTGTCCTGTTTTTTCTAGCCCCCTGTGGTAAGATTTTCATGCACATAAAGAACATTTCTCATAGACAACATAACAGTTGTTAGATACCCATTTCTGAACATTCAAATAACATATTTCTTGAAAGTTTTACACCTTTAAATTCCTCTAGGGATTTTGGAAAATTGGGAGTTAGTTAGTTATTTGTTTACTTATTTGTTTTGTGACAGGCTCTCACTGTGTAGCCCTGGCTGGACTAGAGCTTACTTTGTAGACCAAGCTGGTCTTTGTAGTAGGAGCCTGTGGGCTGCGTTCCTGCTGCTGCATTCCTGCTGCCCCAGCTCCCGGCCGCCTGGCTAGCTTATGCCCTGAAATAACAACACACAAACTGTATTCTTTTAAACACTGCTTGGCCCATTATATCTAGCCTCTTCTCGGCTAACTCTCGCACCTGGACGAGCCCATTTCTAATAATTTGTGTAGCCTACGAGGTGGCTTACCAGGAAAGATCTTAACCTACGTCCATCCTGGGTTGGAGCTTCATCGCGTCTTCCCCAGAGAGGAGAGCTATCAAGTCTGAGCTCACTTCCTCTTCCTCCCAGCATTCTGTTCTGTTTACTCCACCCACCTATGTTCTAACCTATGAGGGCCAAGCAGTTTCTTTATTTTTTAACCAATGACCTTCCTCCATCAGGTCTTGACTTCACAGAGATCTGCCTGTCTATGCCTCCCAAGTACTGTAATCAATTTCATGTAAGCAGAGACTGCTCGTTCATTTCCCAGCCATCCAGACCTGAATAATCAAACAGAAACTATACTAATTACAACACTGTTTAGCCAATAGCTTAGGTGTATTCCTACCTAACTCTTACATCTTAAATTAACCCATTCCTATTAATCTGTGTATTACCATGAGGCTGTGGTGGCTTACCAGGTAAGGTTCTGGCTTCTTCCTCCTTTGGCAGCTACATGGCATCTCTTTGACTCCACCTGCTCTCTTTATATATTTTTGTTTGGTTTTCTCCACCTAGTTCTATTCTGCCCTGCCATAGGCCAAAGCAACTTCTTTATTAACCAATGGTAATAAAACATTTTCATAGCATACAGAGGGGAATCCCACATCAATTTTAGGTATTTAAAATGCTTAGAAGAGGAAGTGAAAGGAAACTGTCAAAAGGAAGAGTGATTGAATGAAGCTATCATAAAAATGTTCTGTACTTGTCCTTAAGAATGTGGTTAAGAGGGCTGGAGAGATGGCTCAGTGGTTAAGAGCATTGCCTTCTCTTCCAAAGGTCCTGAGTTCAATTCCTGGCAACCACATGGTGGCTCACAACCATCTGTAATGAGGTCTGGTACCCTCCTCTGGCCTGCAGGCATACATGTAGAAAGAATATTGTATACATAATAAATAAATAAATATTTAAAAAACAAAGAATGTGGTTAAGAGCATGTGTATGTAAACCAGTTTTTAGAGAAAATAAGCTTATATTAGGAAAAGCAGTGATAGAATACTTCCTTAAACATTTTGCACACAATAGACAGCTCTCTTTTAGAGAGCCATAAAATCACAGCAATAAATAGGATGCACAGAGGGGGCTTTTGTTTTGTTTTGGTTTTGTCTTTGTCTTTGTCTTTCATGACAGGGTTTCTCTGTGTATTCCTGACTGTCCTGGAACTCACTTTGTTGACCAGGATGACATCATAGAGCTCTGCCTTCCTGAATGCTGGGATTAAAGGTGTGCACCACCACACCTGGCTTCAGAGGGAGCTTCTTAAAGTACACGAATTGCTGAAAAGTTCTTAAGCACTTTCAATTTACTGTCCCAATAATGTCATTTATACTATCCATTCCACTTAATGTGCTATTCTATCTGAAGAATACAAGGATGATTTCCAGCCTAGCACTTCTTTCAACACAAACCATAATTATTAAGCTTTTACAAAATGCCTACTTGGAGACAATGTATAGTATATTTTTTAAAAGCCTTCTTAAAACTATATCACATTAACAAGATCGCAATAACTCTAGATTCTTTTGAAAGAGTTGCAACTTTAATGGATTCTTTCCAAATGTGTACCTGTCTAGGTCTATCTAAGATTAAACTAGTAACCCAGGGCACGGGACCATAAAACACATCCAATGGCCCTCTCTCTTTATTCCTGACTTTGGCAGTTTGAGCTTTCCTGTATTAACCCCCACCCCAGGTTGGGGTGATGTGGTTTACAGCATGTAACAAGAATTGAAGACAGTGTAATACAGTAGTCTCATTCTGTAGCTCAAGCTTACCTGGAACTCACTACATAATGAGGCTGGCCTCCTCAAACCCCTGCCTTGCATGCTTAGTGCTGAGATTCCAGGACTGTCAGGCACTAGAATTGAGTCTCAATAAAGACTTTCCGTTTTCCTCTCCTGCTTTTCTCTTATCTCTAAATCCTTTACTACAGCTGCACTGCTTGCCTTTAAGATATTCCAGAAGGATTATAAGGAATGTTCGGTGGCTCACAAGATGGTATTAACACACCTAGAGTGAAAACATTGTGTCTTGCTCATCCTGTAACCAACTTTTCAATGAAAATTTAAATTCATCTATCTCTAAGTAATCAGTATTTCTTACATCTCCAGTTTTTAGTCTACATATAATCAAGTTAGCTAACACAGAGTTTATATGTCAAATGTTATTATACAGCTGGCAAATGTAAAAGGGAAGCATTTTGCCCATTCAGCATAGCTACAGAGATAATCAGTAGAGACCATAAGGGCAGCAGGCTGTCAGCATTCCCAGAGCAAACGTACTCATTTCACGGCAGTTTCGGTGTGTCTGTGCTACAGTCAACCCTATCAATCACCTTAGAGACTCCTCTTAAAAGCAGATTGAAATAGAAGCAATTGATGACTTAGAGGCCTAGATTACCTTGGAGGAATTTAGCCATTCAGGCTCCAAGGAACTGTAACATCCCTAAGACAGGAAAAGAGCAGCTAAGAGAAAGTTAAGTATAAGTATGCTTTAGTCAGGCAGAAAGGTACCAGAGGATGTAAAAATTCTAGAGAAATCCAAAAAACAGATGGTTGGAAGAAGATCTTTCCCAAAGATAGAAACAGGTCATGAGCATGTAGTATTGTGGCAACAGGCTTCCTAGTCCTTTAAAATCAAGTAATATATTTTTTTCATGCTTTTCAGGTATTGTGAAGACAGATAACACAGAAGTTCTTCTCTCTGCTGACTTCACTGGAGCAATCAAAGTGTTTATTAACAGAAGGAAAACTGTATTTTAATTTGAAACTATATTTAAAATAAACCCATCAGCAAGTTTCTATATGTATCAGAAATGAGAAAAGTATTATAGTGTTTCAGGCTAACATCCTTTTTTAACTTTTATTGAAAGTTGTTCAAATATAATATATATTTTTGAGAGGCAGTGTTAGTGATCTAGGAACCCCTAGACTGATAGACTAGAAAGAATGTGTCTAGATTAACATTGCCAAGCATAGAGTTTATGTTTTGTTATGTTTATGTTTTGTTATATAATTATAAACATGCGCAGGTTTCTGCATGAAAAGATATTAATATATTAATCACATGTGCGTGCCTTTTGGTTACATGCACTAAATCTAACAAAGTTAAATTATTTTGGTGGCTCTTTTGGCCTCCTACTGGGTCTTGTTTCTAGCTCTAAAATTTTTTTTTGCACAAAATTTCATTTTTAAGAAACGTGGTATCTTTTGACTGAATTATTGTTTTGAAAATGTTATATAGGTTTTCAATAGGTCAATAACCATGTATAAATGGTTTTTTATAAATTTCTCAATTTGGGGACAAGATTTTTTTTGTGATCTAAATTGTGGACTTATTCTTTACTTTGTATGTGTATATATATATATATATATATATATATATATATATATATATATATATATAATTTTTTTTCCTTTGCCACACTGGAGCACAATGTTTCTATGTAAAGAGTTCTTTACTTTATCCATGAGCACCAGGCTTTGCTCACTTAAAAATAAGCCCCATTAAGGAGTAACTTCTTTTTTACAATAATGTAAAAATGAATTGTTTACATTTTTTTAAAGCATTGTAGTTTTTAAAAATTAAGCTGTTTTGTTTTGTGTTGTTGAATTTGAAAGGCTTTGTAAATGCCAGTATAATGTACCAATGAAATAACATCTGGGACAAAGGAACCCTGGTAATGTTGTTGATGGTTTGCATATGTTTATGAAGTTGAAATATGTATCATTAAAGTTGGTCATCAACACTTGTCAAAGGTGAATTATTTTTAGATGACTTGAGTAAACAAAGAGATGCAAGAAAAACAAACTGTTGTCTTAAATTGAATTTAAGCAAACAGATTTTAAATCCCTAAGTTATGATGCATTAGCTACATGACTTTAAAGCTTTTCCTGAGTTGAATTCTGAAGTACTGTCATCTGCACTCACAGGCTCTTTCTGCATTTGCTTCTGGCACGTGAGGACCTGAGGAGTCACCATCATATCCTCCTCAATCTAGCATGCTCTTCATCTTCAGAGGTCTTGGCTTTCTACTTGATTGCTTCTCTTCTGCCTTGGTCTTCACCTTTCTTTAGACAGTGCTCTTTCTCCTCCTTCCCTCCTTGTCCTTGCCCACCTCTCTCTCCTCTCCCTCTCCCCTTTCTTCTCATGTTTCTTAGATCTCACACTCTATCCTATACTCTAAATGATAAATTGAATTATTATGTCACTGTCTTTCCAACTAATCATAGGGTTTTGATTTGCAGTTTTTATAGTCTTAAGGTCTGTCTGGCTGGTCCAGGGACACTTTTTTAAAATTCAGTCTCCACTCTGAAATCTGAAGCAGCTTAGTGCTGAATACTTCTTTTCTTTTCCTTTTTCCTCTTTCCCCTTCTTTTTCTCCTCCTCTTCCTCTTCTTCCTTTTCCTTCTCCTTCTTCTTTCTTCTTCATTCTCCCCCTCCTCCTTCTTCCTTCTTCTCCTCTTCTTTTATTTTTATTTGTTTGCTTTTTGAGACAGGGTCTGTCTAGTCCTATCAGGGAACTCTATGTAGAGCAGCAGGGCAAGCTGGCCCCAAACTCACAGAGATGCCTCTGCCTCTGCCTCTGCCTCTGCCTCTGCCTCTGCCTCTGCCTCTGCCTCTGCCTCTGCCTCTGCCTCTGCCTCTGCCTCTGCCTCTGCCTCTGCCTCTGCCTCTGCCTCCTAAAAGCTAAGATAAAGGTGTGTGTTACCACACCTGGCTTTGTCTGACTTCTGTCTTGCTGGGTGTTTCAACTACAGATAATCAGGGTGTTGCTGTAAGAATACTTCCTGATAGCTGTCACACAGTTGCTTAGAGAAAAGGCTAAACTAGTTGCTTAAGTACATAATGCTGACACCTCCAATTGCTATGTAAATACTGTGAAGTTATAAGTCAGAAGGTGCATTTGCAAAGGAAGCATCAAATACAAAGAAGCTAGGCAGGGTGTGTACACCTATAATCACAGCTCAGGCAGGAGGATCATAGGTTCATGGTTTGTCTGAACTAAAGAGCAAGTTAGTTCAACTCCAGTCTGGGAAACTTTGACCCTGACTAAAATGAAAAATAAGAGTGTGGATATAATTCGATGAGTAAGTGCTTCCTTAGCATGTGGAAGACCCTCAGTTCAATCCCACTACTAAAAAAAAAAAAAACCTAAATAGAACAATGTATATGAAGATCAGTTGAACACCATTCTCCCTAAAATGAGTATTAGAAATTCTCTATTGTGTGATGTGATTTAGGAAAGAGCAGATTCTAGAGTCAGATAAACTTCCATTCCTTGGCCAAGTTATTTATCCGATGTTACTGTGGTTTACCTTGTATGTAATATGGAAATAGCTAATGCAAAATACAAAGATTCAGTGATTAAATTGCATATGTGTGAAACATGAGATCTAGCTAGTGGGTGTACTCAGTAAATGTGCATTTTTCATTGCTCTTTCCAATTCCCCTTCCAGACCAAACAAAACATTTTTGTACACACTTTTTAAATGCATAGATTCACGGACACGTACACAATCATGCATTTTGTTTTACTTTTCAGTTAGTGCCTTACTGTGTGCCCCTGTCTGGTGTCCACCAGGCTGCCTAGAACTGACAAGAGATGCACCTGCCTCCTGAGTGCTCGGATTAAAGGAGGGCACCATCACGCCCAGCCAACAAGAGCTTTTCAAGAATTAACATGGGACTTTTAAAAAAGACCAACCCCAATCCCTTTTTATTTTAACTATTATCTTCTTTAAAAAGAAAGAATATTTTGATAGGCGAAAACCAAGTAGAAGCAGAGAATAAATCTGACTTTTGAAAGAAAGTACTTTTATTCCTCTATTTCCCCTGTTTTTTCATGAAAATCTCATTGTGTTCTGTGGCAGGCTGAGAACCACCACGAACAGATTGAGTCTTTCATTCAGGCCTCTTTTATAGAGCTGCATTGAGTCTTCATCTTCATTCTATTCACCTTAACTAGGATGCAAACTTCACAAAATAACATGCCATTTTCTACTACTCTTCAGATAACACAATTGGGCAGTAACTTTTATCCTTTGAAATGTTTACTTCGTATTACATGTCCATCCCTCAATTTCTTTTCTTAACATCATGTCTCTCTTTGTTGGAATGAAAAATCGAATTATTAAAATATTTTTAATCACTTCAATATAGCAACATATTTGAGATTGTTTCCTCATAGATTTAGTCTTCTTTTTGTTGTTTTATCTTTACCTTGTTCTTTTTTTATATTTTCCTTTGTGTATGTGTGTGTGTATGTGTGTGTGTGTACATGTTTTGACATGTGTGGGCATTTGTGTGGTGTGGGTGTGCATATACCTCTGTTCATGTGCGCATAAGGCCTGAAGTTGATCAAGAATTATCTTTGCCAGGCATGGTGGAACATGCTTTTAATCCCATCACTTGGGAGACAGAAACAGGTGGATCTCTGTGAGTTCAAGGCCAGCCTCATCTACAAAGTGGGTTCCAAAACAGCCAGGGCTATTGTTATACAGAGAAACCCTGTCTTAAAAAAATCATCTTCTATTACTTTCACCTTATTCTTTGAGGCAGGATCTCCTACATCAAACCCAAAGCCTGCCCATGTGGCTAGTCCTGCTAACCAGCTTTCTCTGGGGATCCCTTGTCTCACCCTGCAGAGGTTGGTATTACTGGCAGGCCACTACATCCACTTAGCAATTTACGATTTTAGAAGATCCAAACTCCAGTCTTCATGCTTGTGTGGCAAGCACTCCAAATATTGAACTATCTCTCTAGCCTGCTTTTTTTTTAAGACAGGGTCTTATGTAGCTTACTCTCCTAATTGGGGTTTCTGTTGCTACAATGAAGCACCACTGCCAAAAAGCAAGTTGTGGGAGAAAGGGTGTACTTGTCTTACACTTTCATATCACTGCATCATCAAAGTAAGTCAGGCCAGGAACTTAAACAGGGCAGGAACCTGGAGGCAGGAGCTAATGTAGACGGCACGAAGGGGCGCTGCTTACTGACTTGCTCCTTTCGGCTTGCTCAGCGTGCTTTCTTATAGATCCCAGGACCACCAACCCAAGGATGGCACCACCTACAATGGGCTGGGCCTTCACCCATCAATCACTAAGAAAATGCCCTAAAAGCCCAATGTTTTGGAGGCATTTTCTTCATTAAGGTTCCCGCCTCTCAGATGACCTTAGCTTGTGTCAAGTTGACATAACACTGACCAGCAAACCTAGGCTGGATTCAGACTCTCTATGTAGTAAATGATGACCTTGAACCTCTGATCTATCTCTAGAGTGTAATGATTACACTTGACTTCATAGAAAATTTTCAAAAGAAAATTTCTGCCGGTCACACTAGTTTCTGGCCTCCCACTTTGCTCATTAATCACACAATGTATACTAAGTACCTACTGTGTATAGAAAACTGCTGAGTGGAAACAATGAACAGGCAGATTCATGCACCAGACGAGCTCTGTCCGGAGAGAAGACGGCTGCAGAAACGAGAAGCTTGCAACTGTCTTGTGACTGTTGCCTGTTCTTCCAATCCCTGTGTGTTTTACCCTTAGTAAATTGTGGGGGACACTAGGTTATCAAGCTGAACTTTGCTAATCTCATATAAAGCACTAAGGATGATATAAAGCATCCAAAATGGAGTATCACCCAAGCCGTCAACATCTCTGTTTTGAGAGAACTCAGTGGATAATAGATCTCCGAGTTGCTTTTGTCTTTACATCACTTTTTTTTTCCAAGACAGGGTTTCTCTGTAGCTTGGAGCCTATCCTGGAACTAGCTCTTGTAGACCAGGCTGGCCTCGAACTCACAGAGATCCAGCCTTTGCCTCCCGAGTGCTGGAATTAAAGGCGTGCGCCACATCACACACACACACTCACGGCTGGGTTGATGTTTTCCAACAGTTTGTGCCTCGACCTACCTGATGAACAGTTCCCATCTTCAAGTGTGGGACTCGCTGCTACTCTGGCAAGAGGAGATTAGCAATTTGGCTTTGAGACAACTATACAGCAAAGCAGAGCTTTGGCAATGAAAGCCCTGATTTGTAGCTTTTTTTTTTTTTAAAGAGAAAATAAAGTCTTGATCATCCTGAGTTCTACAGTAGTTTGGCCACTAGATGGAGCCATTCACTGCAATATTCTCCATTGCTGCCTCTTTCCTCTTTTCTGCCTGGGGCTCTGAAGTTCTAAGGCCTGCCTACAGTACTCTTCAGTCTCCCTGGAGATCAGCGATGCAAGTGAAAGGGTCTGGAAGTCTACCTGTTCCATCTAGAGTTTCCAAAATTTGATTGAACTCGGGAGCACAACCAGCTGCATTCTGTGAAATCA